AGCCGCTGCAGGTAGATGGAGAAGATGAATGGGAAGTAGAAGAAATTGTAGCAGAGGAGGTACGCCGTCGTGGGAGAGGGCATAAGCTATACTACGAGGTGAAGTGGAAAGGTTTCCACCAAACGACGCTCGAACCAGCAGAACTACTAGAGGACGTTGAGGCAGTGGACCGATGGGAAGCATTCACGGAGGCTGCGCGAGACAGCGAGGGCCGCCTCCCAGAGGGGTTTCGAAGAGGCGACGCAGTACCACCCTAAGGAGGGGGGTATTGTAACGGGCTGAACGCCCTTTGGATAGCTCCTCGATGGAATCTTGGTCAAGCAGCAGACGCCAGGTCTTACTCTGCAACCCGGCATCTGTGCGAGGCCTGAGCGGCGCCTAGACGACGCGCTCAGACACTTGGTGCAACCTTTCTCCGACAAGTAAATAAACACCACGCAAGTAGACTCTATAGCTCTCTATCGAATACAACCTCTTGTATACCTCGCGATTGCTCCCCGGAGCGCAGCCCCTTACAATAATATAACACTAAACTTTTTTATAGCTACTTCAGATAAAAGTTATTCTTTAAAATCTTATAAATTAACTAACGTGTTTTACAAGCGAGCGCCGCGTACAAGCGAGCGCCGCACCCCACCAAACCTGCGCACCTCTATAAGCCTGTAGTTCCACCACAATATAGTTGTTTTACTGTATATTAATATAATAGATTAAGCAGTACCTAGAGTATCTTTCTTGCACGTACGCGAGTTGTGGCCAGTTTCTCTACACCTACTGCAGCGCGCCAAAGCCTGGCGGCTGACACCTGATCGCTCTCCTCCCTGACGCTCTTCATGAGCAATCTGCTAATCAGCCTCACGCTGAGCAAGTAGATCCTCTCTAGCTCCCTTTGTTAGCACTCCATGCTTCTGTATCCGCTTCCTTTTACGCTGCCTACGCTTTGTTGCTGCCTTGTTAGCCCTCTTAAGGCTGGCGATCCGATCGCGCATTAGCTCAGCCGAGAGCATTATTCTCTCTGCCCCCTTCTTAAGCTGGCTAATCGCCGCAATAATTGACGCTAGTAACGAGCTCTTATGCCGCTGGACCCGATCACGTATTAGCGTTGATTGGGCTTCAAGCTCGCGTACGTTGCTTGGGGTACGAGCCTGCTAGACGGCCTCTGCAAGAGCAGCTACTAGAGTAGGCGTACGTAGCTGTACGTCAAGCTTTGATAGAACAGTGTCTGGCTAGAAAGGAACAAGGCCTGCGCCTTGAAAGGCTAAGCAGATATTGGCTGCCGTGAAGGATCGATCGAAGGCTACCTTGAACGCTGGCAGAAACTCAAGCTTGGTGATATGGTTGATGTGGTTGCGTATCAGGCTCTCCACCTCACGGCTGTACGCGCGCTTTAATGGCGAGAAGCAGCTAACGTCAAGAGGCTGGAGTAGGTGAGATGAGTGAGGCGGCATACAGAGCGTATAGATATTGTTTGCCTTATAGAGCTCTTGGAACTCAAGTGACTGGTGGCTCTCATAGCCGTCAAGAATAAGCAGCCGGCGTACCCTAACAACCTTGCCATCCGTATGCTTGACAAAGTGCTTTAGCTACTCAACTCCTAGCTCATTAGTCGTCCAGCCGTTGTCGCTAACTGCGATCGCCCAGTCGCGTGGGATCTCTGTCTCCTCATACCAGGCAGATAGGTGATGCTTGCTAGTAAAGATAAGGAACGGTAGGATAGACCAGCCAGCTGCATTAATCCCAGCGATAAACGTTACCCACTCTCGGCCACCTAGTTGAACAGCCTTTGGCCGGCCTCTTCTCCCTGACGCTGTAACGACTAGCTAAGTCGCGATCTTGCCTATCATAAAGCCCGCTTCGTCGAAGTTGTAGACGTCTTCGTCACAGATGCCGTACTTGGCCTTTGTCTTCTCCACAAGCTCAAACCAGCTCTTAATTAAGACTGGATCTTCACACAAGGCTCTCTGCCTATCGTACGCTTGATTAAAACGCGTTGTAAGACTGTCAGTACGCTTGACAAAGTTGCGCGGCCAGTGGACGCCAACCTGGCCAGCGCCGCGCGCAGCCAGCAGTCTATCAGCCATATCTCGCACAGCTGCATAGGTAGGCGAAAATCCACGTAGATCCAGATTAAGTACATGATCAATTATCACCTACTCTTCTAGCTTAGTAAGCTTCTTTAAGTTGGGCTAGCAATCGCGTCGGGCAGGCTTGCCGACGCGTCGGCGGCGGATTGTTCGTTCTAACACGTTATAGATAGCAGCAGCACTGCGATTACTCTATATCTAACCAGATTTAATAGAGGATATAGCAAGCTAGATATCTGCTTCATTTAAAGCTAACTAACTAGCGTTGCGTTGAGCCATTATGTATTAAGATGAGAGAGGTGCACAAAGTTGGTGGGGTGCGGCGCTCGCTTGTACGCGGCGCTCGCTTGTAAAACACGTTACTATAAGCGCTTTTTTAATTAAAGTTATAGTAGTAGAGTTATTACGCGTTAAAGTGGGTGGGTCTGTTTTAGGAAGGTGCAGATGGTGTTGCATCCGCTGAACAGTTGCACGCACTGACCACCTACAGTAAGCCATTCAACGTCTGCTTGGTCAAGGCATATTTATCTCTGGGCGTTACAAGACTACCGCCTGTTGGCATCCTCCTGTAAATGCACTGCTGGTTGCCCGTACAAGCACTGTAACATCTAGCGCGAACGGCTGAGAGACGGGCCAAAGCCACTATTCATGTGAAAAAAAAGCTGCTGCCATGTATGCCGACGCATGCAGCACTTAGCTCACGAGAGCTGCGTCGTCAAGGCACCGAGGTAGGATTCCAAGGTGGCATCATGAACCGAGTGCCTGTCGGCGCCAGCAATCTTGGTCGAATGACACCAGGCTTTGAAGCCCTAAGGATAGTAAGTGACGTGTTCCACGGGCGAGCGACGCACCCTACTTACATACTATATTCGCGCACCTCTCCCATGCCAACGTACGACAGATGCACGCTGCGCCACTCTATTAGCGTTCGACAAATGACATGTCCAGCTTCCCATCTCCCAGTCAATTCTAACGAGATACAAGGTAATCGCTAGCCTGCTACTAATAAGTATCGACAAACCAGCCATGCACCGTTGGCGTGCTAGTGTCCCTACCTATGCGGCACGACTGCTGCCCTGACTTGACGAGGCTAGCTCGGCCAATCTCTACAGTAAGTACTCAGCTTTTCAAGGCACACACCTTCTTCCCCATCACTAGATGCCATCCTATCTCAGCTAGAGGTGCAGCTGCGTGCATCTGCTCGCAGCATCGGCTTCTGGTGCGTATAACACGTTGAGCATTTGGTTTACTTGCAGCACTTACTTACAGGGACCCGGTTTCGCTTAGTACAGTCTAGCTCTCACTCGACTCAGCCTTGACAAGGATACTGCCCATTATCTCGAGTGGCAGTCAGCTCACCAGTACTGCGCCCTGATTTGATACCACTGCACCAAGTGTAAGCCAAATGCTTGGTTTCTTATGCAAACCGGAAGCCGATGCTGCAAGTCTACGAGGCCGCTCCCCCCAGACCCAACACAGCCCTGGTCTCAGGCTCGACTCTCCAGTGTCAGCCCCACAGTCGAGCACGACGACCCCGTACATACAGCTCGTGTTTCTTTTAATTCTGGAGATGAACCATCATTCCCGATACTCCGGCTTATTACTCCATCCCTTTCTCACCAAAGAAGTCAGGACATCTACTCATCATGGCTGCATCGCCTCAAAGTCCATCACCATCTACTACTGTCCTCTGCCGCTATACCCCTGCACCTGAACGGTTCCGGTTGCGCAACAGCTGCAATAGCTGCGCATCATCCAAGTTGAAATGCCCCCGGGAAAAGCCGATATGCTCTCGCTGTGCGCAGCGCCGTCTCACCTGCAAATATCTTCCAGCAAAGCCAAGAGGGAAAAAGGCCAACGGACCGTCGATTGGCAGCGAACCCCGATCTAGCCAGCCCAGACATGCCTGCACCTGTCTACAGGCCCAAGTCGAGTCGGCTGTTCCCTCATCTTCGAATACTGAGGGATCCTCCTGTACAATAATTTCCAACTCTTCGAGCTTCATACATGATCTTTTCCCCTCACCGGACGACGTCTCATCTTCTGCCTCTGGTACCACGCAAATCGACTTTGGCGACTATTTTCCCACACCCGTATCCGACAGAACCGACATGGACATGCTTAGGGAAGCCCATAACTTTTCCACGAGCATCAATGGCAGCAGCATGGGCTCCGACGAGCGTTTTGATACCTTCCCACCCTTTAGTGATGCAATTTCCGAGCTCTTTACTGTCTCCATCCCTAACCCTACGCCTGAGACTTCGATGCAGTTTGGCATGGAACCAGCACAGAGTTACCAGGCGGTTGGTCCCAACGACTCGCCGCATTCTTGCTTGAATCGGGCTCTCAGATCCCTCGAGCAAATCTCCTCGATATCCTATCAGGAGGAAGCTGCTGCAAGCACGACCGTCGGAGCCATTGTCACTGAGAGCAAGGCTGCCATCCAAACCATTCAGACGACGCTCACATGTACTTGCTCGCAGGACGGGTACTCGCTTGTTATCATCGCGTTTGTCGTACTGAAAGTGTTGGACTTGTACGCTGCTGCGGCACGACATGGGCCAAGCTTCCACCATGACCGAGGCCCTGAGTCGCGCTCGCCGTCAGTATCTGACCATGTCCTCCCAAATACGGCTACCATCGGGAACTACTGCCTTGAAGGCGCAGACTCGGCACGCATGGCGGCGCAGCTCGTGCTGAACGAGCTCCACCTCGTTCGACGTGTTGTGGGAAAGCTTTCCTCGGCATTGAAGAAGCAAGCAGCTACAGGTGAGGGACAGGCCGAGGTAAGCACGCAGGACACTTTGAGCTCAGATGTGGTCAACGAGCGCGCATTGCCGTTTTCACTAGCAACATACGATGATCTAGCCATCGATTTAGTAAAACGCTGTAAGACACTTTCCCTGGGTATCATAAACCAACTAAGAGAGCTCTGACCAGCTTGCCTGTGATCAGGTCGGCTGGGGTTGGTTGTGGCACCAGTTGTCAATTGCATTGCATCTGGGAGACTGGGCTTCAATATAAAAGCAGATTGCCTGGTAGCCGACTCACCTGCAGTAGGCCTGTCACCAGTTAGAACTAGCCAGGCTAGTAACGGGTCACTACCAATGCCACTGAAGGGCGGTTAGATAAGATCAGTGGCTCCACGCGAGACGATTTAGACTTTTTGCTTCATATAGCCTAGGCGGCTGTCTTCTCGTCGGGCTGTCACCATGTCCGATGGCTACCTACAAAAAAAAAGGCCATCGATATTTCTGCTACATATTCCAATTGATGTAGTTCCAAAATTGAACCAAGGTATGCGTGATGCCAGTATGTCTACATTCCCATTCCCGGCTCGCTGGATCTTCGGTAAATATTCCATTCTTCGTTGTTTCGTGTAATTCCATCCACCTTCCTCTCTGTAGTGTCAAAACAACATCTATGCTCGTTGTTGTATCTTTGCTCCAAACATTCAATTACTTAATAACCCTCATCAGAAGCTAGAATAATTTCGCATCCTTGGCTCGGCATTGGTATCTATGCATACATTAAGGTTCCTGGGAATAAACTCTTCAGCGTGGAGTTCAAGTAGTCTTTATCGAACAAGGCGATTCACCAAACGTTTATCCTTATCTCATGTCTTCATTGACATCACTATCCGATCGAACACACCCTGCACCCAACACACAAAATACGGCATACTATGTGCATGAACACATATCAGCCTTCTGAAACGTGCCCATCTGCGCCATAATCATTCCAACGATAGGAAGAAGCGACCATATGAGATATAACCAAGTCCACCTCACCACCGATTCCCTCACCCGCGACAGCTCCACCCTGGCAGGCTGTGCTTCCAGCCAAAAAAAAAGCTCATTATTCATGTTCAGCATGAGAATCCGGGTAAATGGAGCAATGATGATTGTCGTCACGCCCGCGATTGCAAAAAAGCCGCCAGGGAATCCGCGCGCTAGCATTGCTGTGAGTAATGAATCCATTCAGAATACCCGTGCCGAAGGCCATGGCTGGCATAATGTAATGCCGGTAATGATACAGGCGCGCCCATTGAGTCTGGAGATGCGGGCCTCCACTCGCTGTGCCCTGGATGACGGGGACGCTTACGAAGCAGCTCGACATCATGGCTGAATAACCTCGGCCGTTCCGGGAATAGGAATGCGCTCCAATGTGTCGTTGTAGCGACCCATGTGAAAGGCGACCCACATGCGACTGGCTTCTTGATAGCTGAAGTCAAGTGAGACAGACATCTTTTCCCAACCTTCTAGCGACAGCGAATCGAGTTGTTCGACGAGGGGTTTATTCTTACTGGTTTGTGCAGTTGGTCGCGGCCGAGGCCTTGATCTCAGCGTTGATTTTCTCTTGCTAGTCTGGATGGTGGGCAACAATGTTCAGCACGGAGCCAGAGATGACTGACGTGTTTGCGGCGGTAATGAAGAGCACGTTAACAAGAAAAGTGGTGATGTAGTCCTTGCTTTCGCCACGGTCGATCAAGTATTGCAAGGCGTCGTCGACGCGGGGAGCTCCAGATGCCATCCATTTATCCACGATAGGCTTGACGATTCTCGTTAAACCCCACCGGCCATAGCGGCGTTTCCAACACCCGAGACTAAAGTAAGACAACCGTGGGAAAGCCAAAAGATAGAGGGTGTTGGTGAACTGGAGAATCGGAATGTAGGTTAAAAGGGCTTGTAGCAATTCGTCGTCTTCCGCTATCTCGTTGGGAACTACTATACGGGTGCCCTGAATGGTTGCGAGGCCGAAGAAAGCTTTTTAGGGTCTTATAATGTTGGATGGACCATTTACCATACCCTCAAAAACCCGACGAGTGTCCCTTGTCACAAGAGGAAGCCGCTGAGCGAGTAACCCCGATTGCTGCAACTCAACAAGGCGCCGTTGGGCGTAGGTAAGTCCTACCACTGGAGCCGGTACCTTTCCAGATATCACGAATGGCATTTGACCGTCCGTTGATAAAGTCTGGCCCGTGGCCGATAAGCGTGGTTCTTTTGATCTGGTGAGTCTGCGATCCTCTAAATGCATCTTCCGGGCGGCCTCGCCGGAAACCCCAACAACGTGATTCTTGCCGAGCTAGAAACCGAAGTTACCCGTCTTTGATATGGCTTCAAACCTCTTCCGCAATCCCTAGGTGTTGTAGTCAATAAATGGGTGTTATGGGAAAGCATAGATGTGCGGCAGAGCTGGCTAACATCTTTTTTGCACAATACCCTGGCTTTACTCCACTTTTTGCGCCCTTGATGAAGAATTGCTGGTACAACTAGACGTAATCTGTTCAACATTTGCCTAGTGGTCCCAACTTTGCGTCTTCGACAATCAGACGTTTGACTACGAACACTCGCTAGCACAACTGCTTCGTTCCGACAAATAAATTCTGCTGTTTAGAAGGAACTTGTCCGCTTTCCGTTACACGCTCGCGATCCGACTCCAAAATTCGGGGTGTATTGCTGATCTGTGGGAGAGGAAGCGAGATGACTGTGTCAGCGCAGTATTGGAGCAGGTACTCTGCTTACTTCACACTTTCCCAACTTTCATATGATAGCTACCATGCTCAACTCCAAAACAAAGTCTCTGCTAATCACCAGTAGGTGAAATTCCGAAGAGGGCTTTTCTGATCCGACTAGTCAAGGTAGCAATCTACTAGCTTCTGCACTGGGGCCTTTGCAGCCCCCGCAATCATTTCTTCGCAAGACTTTACCCAATTGATCCCAGCAGCTATGCATGCGATAATGGTTGCTTTGCATACCGGCTTGATATCTGCATATGAGTCTCTGTCGGTAGATGGTAATATCTTCTCGTTCCGAGATTGCCTCCTTGCTTGAACGATTAAACGCCCAAAATATAAGTTTTGTAGCACACGGACCATTATTCAAGAAAGCATGTCTCCAGATAATAACATCTTTAGCCGATGCCATCATCTTCGCGCGCATACATCAAAGCTTTGTTAACAATCGGTTTCGCAATCGGTCGACATCCCCATGTCTTAACTGCATTGAGGCGTGACAATGCCGTCTCTAAATTCGACACGATCATGCTCCCTATCCGCAGTCCTTACCACTCTCCACACCTGCTGTCCGAGGAGGACGTCAATACCATTGTACAAAAGGCTCAGACTTGGGCGCAGGTACAGCCCAAACCGTCCATCCTATTGCTGCCTTGCGGCACTGGCAATTTCATCTGCATGAAAAGATTGCAGGCCATGCTAAAATACGCTATCCACGACGTGTTAATTCGCTTCATGGTCATCGAGGCTATCACTAGCCCCGGCATAGCTCTGAGGGCAAGTCCGCCCAAAGACATAGTTCTTATACCTATTGCTACGGGCTCAGACAGAACGACACGGTATCGGCTCAAGTTTGCTCTTGTAAACGTGTGCCCGTCGATTTTTCCTTGGCTTCACAAGCAATCAATGTACCCGCAGTCATCGTAGCGAACCAACCCAATAATGCTATACTTGGTATGTCCGCAAGGTTCACAGAAGCATCAAGTACGGAGGTACTATGGGGGTTGTTCGAAAATGAGGTCAGCATGTGTCGTGAAGTGCTGAAGTTAGCATGGAATCATGAAATCTATATTAATAACGAGGGGAAAATAGATACGTGCAAGGTGGGTTGTGGCTACCAGCTTGAAGCTCACAACCAGGCGCTGTAGATAGACCTAGCCTAACGTCTTGCTCTAAGGACGGCATATAAGGCGATAGAAGACGCTAGTATCATTGTAGGCCTAACCCCCTCTACTTATGAGTATTAGGTTGGCCTTGTTTACTAAATAATGTGCAACAACTAGTATAAGTTAAATAGCTGGTAAGGTGTCGACGGTAACCGGATTTCTGGCAGTAATGAAGTGTTTGTACCTAGAAGCATTGATGACTTCTTATAGTTGTTAGGACCCAGCTTTCCTGTCGATATAAATTATTCTTCGAGCTGTGTAGCTGTTTGACTTGCTTGTAATCTACTGTAGAAGAGAAACGTCGATACCGCAATTGCTAGTAAGACTACCGTGCTTACGAATCTCTATATGACATCTAGGCTAAACAAAGGCTATTTTCTTCTACAATAGGCAATTTTAGCCTGTGCAAAAAATCTTCTAGGTTTTTTTGTAGGCGATAAAGAGAGTTGCGATAGTGCGGAAGCGTCTCAAAGATGCTCTCGAGGACGGTGATCTGATGCATGGTGTTGTTGGGAGCGCATTTACTAACCATTCTGCAAAAGCGGAATCTATCACCCGTCCCCATGTTGGCGCCTAGAAAGTCGTTTCCGAGCGTGTGCTGCGAAATTCGGGAACAAACGCATATGACGTGGGTTATATTGAGATGCATGGTACAGGCAGTCAAGCAGGGGATGGCCGGGAGATGAACTTGGTCTGTGACGTTCTTGCACCGAGGGACAAACCCCACAAACGACCTGCGGATCACCCACTTCGCCTTAGAGCCTTGGAATCCAATAATGGTCACAGAAGATCCATCTCCAGTGTAAGCGCTATAATCAAGGCGAACGTTCCCGCCACACTGCGGCATCAAAAACTCGCATCAAATCGAGCTTTCCTGCGGACCTTGCAGCACGCAATATTCACATCGATCTCGAGTCAACCGCTTCACCGCGCTCTTATGAACAGCCAAAGAAGGCACCCATTATAAACTTCAGCACAGTAGGCGGAAATACCTTCATCTTAATTAAGAGCACGTCACGGCGACTGTGAACCATGCGGACCATAGTAACACTAAGCCAATCTACCCCATAGCTGTCTCTGCAAGATGCGCCATATTAGTTAAAATTAATAGTCATACGCTATTCTTTTATCTCTTACTATTCTCCTTACCTCTTCAAATTGTCTAGTTTAGCAAATTCTACTAATTCATTTATTAATTTTACATTTTTCTCAGTTTACATCTCGATTGTACTAACACAATACTATTTTATAAAATAAATAGTAATAAGATAATATACTCTCTTAGAGTAAGATATATTGCAAGATGTACTACTCACTATGGTATAGATTTCTTATAAAAAAAATGAACCCTTTTATATACTGGAGAAGTATGGAAATATTTATTAATAATAATATAACTAACTAGTATTACTTAGGAAATTTTGTACAGACGGGATTTGTTGGCTTAGTAATAGAAATGTTATATAGACCCTAAACTTTATAGCTTTGTAATTTAGCAATAAATCTTACTAAAAGTAAAGTTTAGTCTATTCTATGTAGGTATTACGTGAGATGCCTGTTATGGAATTTGACTTTCTATCTTTACGGAACCTTGACTATTCTTAGTTTAGCTCGCATCATGTCTTTATTTTATCCATAGATAAATGACTTTTATCCTCTGCGGTGTGACTAAACCTAAACCCTCAATCCTAATAAGCAAACCTTATGGATCTTATAATAAGGGATGAGGCAACTGAATAGAGTTACCAAAGCACTCACAGATGCCCACTATATATGTTTCATCGATGCGTCCTAAAGCCATCCAACTTAGTATACAGGACGGTGTATTATTAACTGCCGCCCATGTTAACAGGCAGGCTGCATATCGAGTATGCAATAGCGCGAAGGTCTCTCGGCTCAATATTACAGATATTCGGAAATTGGGTTTGGGAAAGCGCATTAAGTTGACATGGATCTTGACCATATCGCATGCTTGGGTCAAACATGCCGTACCCGTGTTCGTCCAGTCAGTGCTGTCTTGTGCAATTTATAGTGGCGTCTTTGCCCGCTTTTTGCATCTTTTCCTCTTTCACCATCACCACAGTTTCAGATCCTCCAGCCAAAGGAATTTGACATGCATTACACGTTTAAACACATTTGGGGCACTCTTTTGCCCATATCCGTGGCAATAACGCACAGCGTAGCAGCAAGCCAAGTGCAAAACAGAAGTGTTGATCTACCCATTGCTGAACACATCATTCCTCTTCGTCGTCTATCTTCTTCTCAGCACTTTGGCCGTAGAGAAATCGCCTCAAGTAGTGATATCACTGTTGCAGGACACTCTACTAGTCTGCGTAATGTTCGCGACATTTTTGGGGTCGACGTCACGGTTGGAGATACAGTATTGACTCTGTTATTTGACACAGGGGCTCCATTTACATGGGTCCTTGGCCCAGGGTTTCAATGCGCAAGCAAAGACGGGACACAACTGTCAGTCCCCAAGGCTGGAAACTACTTCTCTGCGCACTACGCCAGACTAATCATTGTGCTCCCCTGCGATATAGGAAACCGAACCAATGCCCATATACTGCTTACGGCACCTCCAGTTTCTCAGGAGGCAAGATAGACGGCCCAATTCTGAACGTGACCTTTGGAGATGGGACCAATCCTTCAGGCCCACGAGGGTACGAGAAAGTCGGCTTGGCTGGAATTCATGTTCCTCGACAGCAGATAGCTATCTGCGACCATGTCATAGATGATCAGTGGCCATCGAAGCCGATAGGCGGTTCCATTGGTCTGTTACGCACTACTCGGCGTTGTTTTTTTGCGATGTACATCTTCATTTTCCTGACGCTGCACAGGGTTCTCATTTCCAAATACCGATACCCAAGAGATAGAGGGCAATTATTTCGTTGTCAGTATTCTCATGTCCTAATACGAGTAGTAAATTCACCGGGTTGACATCTTTCGCAGACACCGTGGATATTCACCGCTTATAACCAAGGCCTGATCAATCCGCCTATTTTTTCCTTTGCCCTAAATCCCTATCGCAAAGAGACCGGCGACTTTTCCAACAACGGAGTGCTAGCGATTGGGGGCCTACCACCCAATGTGCGAACTACTGGACCATGGGCAATTACGCCAGTGCTTAGTGACTTTAAAGATGGGGTAATACGATACTGGACCTTCGTCCCGGATGGCTTTACAATCAAATCAAAGCAGTTAGTATTTCCATAAACATTGCGTTATGGTTGCTTGCAAACTGACTGGTTGTGAAAAAAGTAATCCGCATGGCAAATTTGTGGCTTGGACCGTGCAAGCAGGATACATGCCTGGAGTCCGTCGAGTGCAAGTCGATTCAGCTACTTGGGGCATCATCCTTCCACAAGCATACGTCGAGAAGATCTATAAGTCGATTGATCCAGCACCATATGAAGTGAAGGACCTTGGTTGGGTGGCTGACTGCAATGTACGCGTGAATATTAAACGAAAGAAATGGTTACCGGGCGCTAATACAGCTTCCAGGCAAATTATGCAGGTGCGAGCATCCGGATTGGGGGTGTCGATATTTTCCTTAACCGTGCGACTGTTATAACTTCACAGTTTCAAGAACAGCTGCAACCGGGTCAATGTTTTCTTGGTGTAATCCCAGGCTCTTTCTTGCTTGGAAGCAATTTCCTGAGGAATGTCGTAGCGGTGCATGACATGACTAAAGGAAAGGAAAGAATGCTATTCAGGCAACGAGTTTTTGACAACTAAGATTTGAAGAAGGAGTTTGGGAAAATGGGAAAGAGCCTGCGACAGGCGCGTGTGCAGCGATAACTCAGTGTAGAACGACCGTCATGAGAATTTACCCGCGTCGAGCTGTCCGAGACCCCTTCAATCCTGCAATCATGTTGAAATATCAAAGTTAATAGATATTCATGTCAAGCTTTGTTTCCATTCTATTTCTTTATGATCTTGGTGGCAAGAATAGCTACATGTGTCTTTTCTTGTATTAGCATAAGTCAAATTCTTAGCTAATATGTTGGAAAATCATATGTACCAAACAATGAACATGGTAAAGAATGACCAGAAATATCAATATCTTTATAATAACTGGATTTGTTGTATGATTGATGAGCAGAGTGATCAAAATGACACTCTTTGAAGTAATAAACATAATATTAGCATCCGCGACCTTTCGAATGCTTGAATACTTCTTATCTCCACCGCGCGGCCATATGGTCGAGATTTGAGGTATGTTTCCCGAGTTATAGGTCATGAATGTTGGTAACCTCTTGCCCAAACCTATCGTGGACGACAGCAGAGTTGTCCTGATTTGCATTTCGGACTGAAACCACGGTAGTATTGGTCTATGTTGCAACACGGGGTTCTTCCATCGCTGCAATCAGCTATACCAGTCGTTAGGGCACTCTCTTGCAATGTTACAGGTTGCTTGACTTACCATATGGCGGCCAACAACTCAATGCATCATGTAGCTGTTGTGAGCCGTCGATTGGATGTTGTGAGCCCATATATTCAATGGCGTTTCGAGACTCATCGTCAATATTTTGTGACTCAATTGCCAAGATAGCCGTAATGGCGAAGACTGAAAATGTGGAAAAAATATGTTTGATATACATCGTTCGATGTAATTTTCTTCTGTGAGTGGTACTGAAACTTGATGCAACTGGTTTTAGTTGTCTTTTATACTATCCAAGGTCTTGAAAACTTAGCCCCAAAAGAGTAAAATCGTCCGGAAGGATCTCGTTACGTTATAAGACCTCAATTATGCAAGGTTAGTGCAATCACCAGATCAAAGCCATGTCGATTAAGTCTTGTGTGTGAATGTCAATGAAATGGATGCTCTAGTGCGCTTGTTCAGCTTAGGTATATCCAGCCTCTTTTTTCGCTAGCAGCTTATAGAGAAACAGACCGCTCTAGCCCTGGCGATCACTCCTAAATCGCATGAATGGCTTTTTCACGCGACAATGGACAAACCCTACATTCGATACGAGTTCGGACATGAGCGAGCCGCTAAAGGCAATGGATTTCATAGAGCTATTCCCATGCGCTAAATCAACAGTTGTCATTTCAACTTGTAGAGAATGCGGTTAATTGTTCGATAATAGGGTTAATAGGCTACTGCGTAGGAGATTATTACTTCTGCAAACCGAATCTTTACACCCATTTGCCTTGCTTTTTAGTGTTCATACGTACCGACCTTGCTGTTTCATGCCTTTGTCACGGGAACCTACACGAGCCACTAGAAATGATATTCAGCTGAAGGTGTTTGTACACCTATTGACGGTGGGCTGGTGGATAATGTGGCGCTCCAGTGGCTGGCTATGTACCCCGGTCTCTCGCTGCACCCCTCCTGGGCCGAAGCGAGCCAAAATCAGAGAACCAGCTCTGAGGCTGGCTGACTTGGTAAAAAGTCGTCGCTGCTTGGGGCAACATACGATTTGGTTGAACCCTATTGCTTCGAGTTCTTAACTCGTGCAAATGCAAGTATCTAGCTGCATTGCTATATATGTTTACCCCGTTTGATGATTGCATTATAAGGTAAAGACGCCTTCTAGCCCGCTAGCCTTACAAGAGACGGCTGACTCAACAATGTTTGCACTGCTGCTGCCGTTAATCCCAGTCAGTCTATGACTGAGAAACAGATGTCTGCAATCGCCAACTCTCAGCTCTCCTTTTGAAAAGTATATATTCTTCGATACGACTCTCCGAAGATGGCTACAGGATAGCAATACCTTCAAGTAGAGTTATATCCCCGACGCCCTGATCTATTTACCGCCCTACGCCGGAAAGCCCTGATAGATAGGGTATAGTACATTCGCATGTAATAATCTTATAATTAGAAGTATTTTCGTAGGTACAATCGAGCTTGCAAGTAGCTGAATCTCCGTTAGAAATCGACGTCATGCACTAAGTACTACAACCAGCTCCGTGGTCGGATACCTTGGCATCCCGAGGATACCTTGGCCACCCGAGTAATGCAGATTGAGCACGCGGAATCTCTCTAGGGCATCCGAAGACGTCGCTAGTGATCCTGACAGCGAAGACGTAAGTAATTGTGGACGGTCGAGGTGATTTCGTTGCGGCCTGATCAAGAGCTGCCATAACGAATGATGCAGTCGGATGGGGCTTGCCGCAGTCTCGCAAGCCCAAAACCTAACTTCCCGAGGAGTTAGTGACTTCTTTCGTTACTTGCTTGGTTGTTGGAGGAACAGCATGCCGCAACGTGCCCGCTTTCCAGAGGCCGGTGTACCGGAAAGCCACGTAAGCCGTGCGAGGAACCGAAGGAAACTCCGCACCAAGGAAACCCATCTTTCTAGAACAGCTGAGCCACAGCTTCGTAGAGATGGTCGGTGATGGGGAAACCACTGTGCGCTCCTTCCTCGGGCGTGTACACCGCTAAGTTGAGATGCACAGCTGATTAAGGGGTACTAACATACACGAGAGGGTCGGGAAAGCTTTGGTTGTCTGTTTGTAGAAGTATGAAGGCGTGTAAGTATGCAGTTGCCTCAGCCATACTACCGAGCGACAGGGTAGTGTCCCGCCGACCATGTTCCGCATAAGTATAACCCTAACCACTCTCTCGGCTCTTGTTGCCACCGTCACACGTCGCCAGCCCTCGAGGTCACTTCGCAATGGAGTCGCATCAAAGTCTGCAAGCTCTTCTTTCTAGCAAAAATGTTCCAACAATCTCCAACTCATCCTCCAACTGGGCCTCGCTGATCGATCCATACAACCGTCGTCTCAAATATACACCAGCTGCTGTCACGCTACCGACTACTGCGCAACATGTCTCCGACTCCATCTTATGTGCTGTGGCAGCAGGTGTGAAAGTGCAGGCGAGATCTGGGGGACATTCGTACGGCAGTTTCTCGCTCGGTGGACAGAACGGCAGTCTGGTAATAGACTTGCGGAATCTCAACACTGTCTCTCTAGACAAATGTTAGTCCCCGATTGATTTTCTTCCATCACCCCGATACTGCATCGCTAACAAGTTCAAGCGACGGGCATTGTGACAGTAGGCGGAGGTGCTCGACTTGGCAATCTTGGACTAGGGATATACAACCAGGGCCAGCGTGCGCTCCCGCACGGGACGTTCCCAGGTGTCGGAATCGGTGGGCACTATACCCATGGAGGCTTTGGATACTCATCTCGTCGTTGGGGTACGTGATTCGCTCCTGATAGCTCGCCCTTCAGCCCGTAGCAGGGGGCCGTGCTGTGTACTAACAGTGACACTCTTGTTCCTCATGACAATGTTACTAACCAGCGATCCCAATAGGTCTCGCGCTTGATACTATTGTAGCCATGGACGTTGTCTTGGCAGATGGCCGCTTTGTGCACGTCACGCCAACCAGCCATCCCGACCTGTGGTACGCTCTGCGAGGAGCTGCAGACAGCATAGGTATCATCACAACTTTCTATCTCCAGACACAGCCGGCGCCAGCTCAGGTTGTCAACTATTCGGCTAATTTCTCGTCGGCTCTGAAGTCAGCGGATGCGGCAGCGAATGTCATTCTCACCCTTCAAAATTTCGCCACCACCTCTCCATACATTGACCGGAACCTCACTGTTGAGGTCTACACCAGCGTTCTCGGAGAGTTTATCGTTCGTGGGTGGTACTTTGGGGATCTGGACTATTTCTCGAAGACTGTGTTTCCCGCTATGCTGAACGGAATGGCAACCCCGCCGGACAATACCACCGTAGAGGAGCAGGCCTGGCTGACGGCGCTGGAAGGTATTGCTGAGGGCGAGCCACTTGCTGAGCCACTCACCGGCTACAACAGGCGTGGGACATTCTACATCAAGTCTATCGTAACGAGAGAGGCCCAGCCGCTGACCAAGGCGGCCCTCACCAGCTACTACCAATACATCATCGACAAGGGTCTGACTGCTCAATTTTTCTGGAACACGTTCATCTCGCTCTATGGTGGCAAAGACAGCCAAATCAACAAGCCCGCAGCCGACTCTGCTGCGTACTCGCATCGAGACTCTCTTTGGGTTTTCCAAGTAAGTGTACAATGCCTTTTGATAACAAACTCCAGCTGACATGTTGCAAGAATATCGGCTCCAGCCCGAATCGTTTACCGCCCTTCTCCCCGGAGATAACCACTTTTGTCAATGGGCTGAATACAGCAATCACTGCTCCGCAGCCTGACGGCAACTTTCTCGCCTATCCAAACTATCTTGACCCAGCGCTTACACCGGCCGAGGCAGCCCACCTCTATTATGGACGTTCCACCTACAGCAAGCTTGTGAAAATTAAGTCCGACGTTGACCCAAACGATGTCTTTTGGAATCCACAGTCGATTGGAAACGCCGTTTTGTCAAAAGTTTAGATTGGCATCCCCGCTCTAGGGTCAAGTGTCAAAAGTGACAGGAAGCATCTCCTCTTTGATGACGTACAAGGCCCAATCAGGTCCAGCCTCTCATAGAACCAGCACTAGCAGGCTTTTCTTGGTACCCTCATTTCTGTTTTATACATTGCATCATAGTATATATATTATATTCCATACACATTATTGGAAGACGGTTCGATACCACTAAACGATGAAGGAAATAAATAAGTACAGTCGACATGTGAAAGGGTAGAAAAGTGAAGATCACTAGTACGGTGGGAATATTCCATGTTGACTGATCCTAGTAGCTTGAGGTGTGTAGATACTAGGGCTGCGCTGTACAAATAAACGATTATTCATTTTTGACTTAGACACAATAGATGGTCGAACGCTGTATAAATTATCAATCAATTTTTTTACTTGGTTGCAAATTATATACCATGCCAGATGCTCATGGCCACATGATGCCATCGCCCATCATCTTTGCCTTGCGCATATCTGTACGCACATCGAGAGGATAGTCCTGCAGCTTGAGTTCTCTCCTCCACTGCTTCATCCTCTTGCTCAGAGCCTCTTCTCTAGCACTCAATTCTCGCTTCGCCAGGGTATTGGTTGCACGTGTACCAAGATCACCAGCAATGCAGTGGTTCTTGCCACCCCAAGTTGTGTCCGCAGCCGCCTTCCAAATGGCGGTCATATCTACAGTCATCTGCTTAGTGTACAGTATACGGCAATCAGCTGGCTCGTAGACAAATTGCAGGGGCGTATTGGTCGCGTCGCCGTCGCGGATACCGTCGCGAAAGTTGACGTTAATTGCTGAGCCAATGGCTTGTCGATCAAAGGGAACAGAAGACCAATATTGGCCAAGCTCAGTGGCGTTGAGTTTCGCGGCATCCTGAGGAGTAGATGTTCCATTAATGACTGTATATTGAGCAAGAGCCTGGATATATGTCCATGGATAGTTGTTAGTACCCTTGACGCCGCCCACTGCCTGGGTGATGCCTTGACGAGAGCGACCACCAAGTGAGATATATTTAACACCAGCGCGCTGGCGCATAAGCTCGGAGAAAATGGTGCAAGTAGATGCGCAGTAGCCGTCGGTAATAACAACAATGTCCTCAGCGGCAAAGGGTTGTTCAGTATAGTTGGATAGAGGGCCGTGGCCATGGACATAGATACCGCCTGAATTCACGGTAATCAAGGGATCGTTGAAGTCCCAGCGGAAGAGATTAGTGACATTGTCACCTTTCATGTTATTACGCGGGCCAAACTTGTCTTTCCAGCTGGTAAAGTGGTTCTCTTCAAGGTTGAGATCAGTGCGATAGTTGAACGTTGAAGAGACAACGTCGCCCTGAAGATTGTACAACTGGCTGTTGGTTTCCGGTTCAACTGGCTCTCTCGACACACCATCAGAAAGTTTTGAGAAGACTTGACCAATTACATCAGTGGACTCGAAAGCACGGAATTGATCGCCGGCTGCATGGTCAATGCCGTGGGGAAAGAGGATCGAGTACAGGTCGTATCCAAGCAATATGGTACCACCGCCATTGGCTTGAACGTCAATGATGAGCTTCTTCTTTCCCGCCGCCTTGGCGGCAGTGATGAATTGTACAGCGGTGGCTTGGAATTGCTTTTGTGCATCGATGCCGACGAATGAAGGTACGGATAGCACAGCAACATCGGAGTACTCATCTTCCAGGAAATAGCCACCAATCAAGTTGTGGCTTTCACGAACAACTGGCGGGGGGTAACCGGGGGCGGGGATCTTTGGTACGGCAGATGAAGAGGCGCTTGGCGAAGGGGAGGAGCTAGTAGTCTGGGTGGGTGGGTTGCCAGTAAACCAAAGCTTGTAAAGGCTTTCGCCATCGGTGACACCGTCGAAGGGAATCAAGACTTTGGCGAAATTGGTGTATGTTTGGTTTGTTCCATTAGCAAACTGAAGCGCCGTGGTGGGGCCAGGGTAGATCTGCTACCGGTCAGCTTCACTCATGGGCGTTTGGTATGGACGCATTCACATACATAGCGACCTCTTCCAGAACCGGCAAAAGTGCCGATACCCGACCCGGTGGGGCCTAGCGATACAGTAGCGAGCTCGTAGAAAACGTTGTTGTAAAGAGCATCCCGGTCCTGGAGAGAGCCGTACTGGGCCCAGTTCTCGAGGTATTCCTGGGCGTCCTGGCCGTTGATGTGTGTGATGGGAGATGGAGCGAAGGTAGCGTTACCGAAAGATTCAGCCAGGACATCGGCGTAGACGTACGTCTTTGGTAGTTCCTTACCATCCGATGATACCGAAACGAGGGGTACAGGACGCGCAAAAGTGAAGACTGTTCCAATCACGTCGGGGATATAGACAAAATGGCCGTCGTGTGTGGATTGCAGAAGACGATAGAGCTCGAAGCCAAACTATGCAGTGCATAAGTAAGACTGTTGGTGTCAACTTGACATGGTGACGACATACCTCATACTCATTGGCATACGTATTGGCAACCACTTTGGCCCTTATAGTCGAGAGCTGGCCCCAGATATCGATGCCAGGCTGCACCTTCTCTGCGTATTCAGTGGGCGGATCCTTGAGCCAAACGGTATTGCTTTGCCATCGAAAGTAGGGTACGACGCCATCGACAAGGGCGAGGGCGGCGGACTGGTTGAATGGCACCGAAGTAAGGCAATCATAGGCCAATTGTGCAGAGACAGTGGGCGCAGCAGCCGTCTGGGCTGCAACGGAGCTCGCTACCTGGGCACATGGGCTCGTGGCAGTGTTTTGGCCCGCATGGAAAGACGAGACGGGCTTGGCTCGAGCGGTCGAGGCGACGAGGAGCAGGCCTGCAATGCTCTTGAAGAAGCGTGCCATTGTTGCCACTGGATGCGACATGCAGGTAGAAGCAAAGCAAGTGCGGGCTTGGCTTGACTTATACACTTTGGTGGTGTGGTCAAGTTGCACGATGGCGCCTCAGCAAGCCGCGCCGTTGTTGATAGAGGCGACATTATACATGGCTAGCTGCAGGCGGTTCCTCGACTCTGATTACCTGGTCCATGTACGATGAGGCGCCATTTTTGAGTGTGGCCAATGGCCATGGCTGCTGTGTGCAAGGTAGACGAGGGTTGGTGGGGATGTTTGAAGGACGAGTTGCTTAATAGGGCAGGCCAGGCATGATATGGGCTGCCCAAACAGGCAAAGATCAGACGTGCGCGGTAACGAGGCTGATGGGATTATTGCGCGATAAAAACAACCCTGATGAAGATTGCGCCGGGGCATGCGGTGAGATTTCAAGCTATAGTATGCCCATGGAAGAATATTGGGCCAGCTGAATACATACACGGTGCTGCAGACGATGAGAGGCAAGCTTGCGACGAGGCATCAAAGTGGCCAAGTACGAAGGAGCTCGTCTTGGTGTACTTGGTAGCAGGCAGAATTCTAGCCCGTACGTTTAATGCACATGTACACGATGCTACCAGATAGCGCCGCAGTATAGTAGGATAGGATAGCCATCTTAGGGAGGGAGAGAGAAGGAGGGAGAGAGAGAGAGAGAGAGAGAGCGATTACAATCAATCTAGGTGCATCTCCTCTTGCATAGGCTGGCTATGAGTAATAGGATTATAAAAGGACACGAGCAATTCCGAAGAGCGTGCTGGTTACTAGCAGAATACTCGTCACTAGGTGTGAAAACGAGCTCCGTCGTAGGCCGCGCACGGCCGCCAGACTAGGCAAAAAGAGGCAGGAGCCAAAATACAATGAAGGCGCGCACCATGTCCCCGCGGCATATTATCAAGTCGTGTCGCCATCAGGCTTAGGCGTATGTATGCCCATGAACAAGCCATAATATCAACAAACCTTACGTCTGCTCGATGCTCGGGTGCAAACGAATACCCATGTAGAGTGCGTAGCCAATGCCCAACATCTCTAGTTCAATATCTTCAACCTTGCTAGCGTCGGCCCAGCCCCCGACCAGAGACATGCCATTCACTCCAATCTTCACCACCGTGCTTTTGCCAAGAATGCATATCAGCGCCCGACAGCAATGGTTCCAACCACGGATAGCATGATGCGAACGGCAGCAGGCAAGTAGGAACGGCAACATTTTCGCCATGCCAGACTTCTTGCGCTTCATCGGCTGGTCCACTCGTAATTGAGCATGCGAGGTTCCTGTTACTGCCCACTGGTTGAATCTTGTTTCAGCCTCTCTTGTCTCTCCCTTCTCATTCTACCTCAGCTTTATAGTGGCAGCTTATGTATCTCGCTAACTGCCTGCACCCAGCTGCATTTGCGCATTATGTGAAGCGCATTTACGTCTCCTGGTTATTGCTTTCTAGTCCCTACTAAACACCACGTTGTCCGCTCACATGTCGATTTGGTGGCTACATGATTTCATTGGCGCCTTCCCTTGATAAGAGGCATCTTGGAAAGAGAATTACAACCAACAGACACCAGTTTACACCGAGACCCGCGAGCCGCTTTACCACCATTGTCCTTGCTATCTCCTCGTACCCAAAATGATGATTACAACAGCTTCAGAAAACGTTGCAGGGGTCGATTTTGGGACTACGTAAGAATGGCTTCATCATATAGCACTGGAAGAAGCTAAGTGCTCTGGATATTCTGGAGTTTCATGGGAAATTAACAGGATAACAAAGTCCACTAGATCAATGACTGGCCGAACCCCCGCGGGGATAGTATCAACAACAACACGTCGGCTGAAGATGTGGCCGCTGACCACTTGCGGCTGCTTTGGCAATATACCAGGCATCACATTGAGCGTCACAAAGGAGGTAATCGGGAGTTGGTTTATTCTTTGCGAGTGTGTAACCACATGGCTCTTGTTTTAGTAGTAAAGTTTACTAGAAATCACCTGCATTACAGATTTTGCACTCGATATCTTACACAACATTGGTACACCTACACTGAACGAGATGCAAGACATTCATGCTTAATTTAAGTAATAAAAACCAGGTTGGTAAGAGATTCCGCAGCAACTGCAATGATTACATTCCAACGCAGCAGCAGTACAAGAGTACCGTTTTAGATAAAGATTTATGGGTACCAAGAGCTTCACGTGTCCACCACCCTCTACAGAAATCGCGGAAGCTTAATGCAAGAGGCAGTTCACACACTAACATGTTGTATAACTATGGAATGTGCTAGGCGTTGTCATCCGCTGCCCGAACGCCCAATCGGTAAATTCGGAATGGATATGCTGCAAACAAGCCTCTCAAGACATGCGTCATAGTACATTGATACAGGCCAATCAATTCTATTATGCCGGTATAATCACCTAATTATATGCGTTGACTGATTGGAGGTAACTATACGAAACCAGCCGGCAAATAAAAAAAAAGGTGGCCACTCGCTGATGCCTCTTCGCAGCTGTCATTGATCATATGACCATATCGTTGACTCGTTACAGTTGCAACCGTACCAGGGCACCATTTTGACCAACACTGACCAAGCGATCCAGCTGAAAGACACACTCGAGCGCCGTCCAAGTACCGCCAAGTACCGCCAAGTACCCCAGATGTCAGGTGCACTACATACATAGCATCTGTGATTTACATGTAATCGACTCTACCACTACCTCTGATGGTATGCCATGGAGCCAACGCGAAGTGAATGGGCTTCGGCTGACACGACACCCTATCACGGGCTCTGCAAACCTCATCACGTGCAACCCAATACCGTGGTGACCGAACTGTGCAGCCCTTTGTCGGCTCCCCCGGTCCAACAAAGACGGTGTTTTGGAATGGCGCAGCGTGGGCCGCGACTCTGGTGCGCCTGTTCGCTGTCACGACACGCCTCTCGCATGGGCGCGAAGGAATGGGAATGTTATTTTCTCAGCCGTGGCTACGTGGCACTGGCCTTTGCCCATGGACGGCGCATGATTCGCCAGACGGTAGCGCCACTAACTTTGCCCAACTGACCAATTCTCGTGCCAACACCGGCATTTGCAAGAAGCGCTAACGCCTTGCCCTCGTACGTATGGACAGCGCTGCTCACATAGGTCACTGTCGAAGCTGGGCTGTACCCAGGGGCCGGATGACATTCTGGAAGGCGGTTTGCCGTAAGTACCAGTACCCTTTTCCCAATAAGTGACCCCGCATGTTCCAGCTACCTACAGCACTTTGCAATCCAGCATATCCCTTCTCTCGTTTTTTTTCCTCTCTCTCGCATCTGCCTTGCTGCAAGTTTCCTACGCTCGCCCATTTCACCTTCAGTCCTTCATTCGGAAGCAAAGCCATCCACGTCGACGAGATCGCCCGTCATTCCATTCATTCTAGTCTTACACTGTTTGCATTATCCTTGGATTAGACCATCGCCGCGCACTCGCTGGAAAGATACCCGGCCGAGTCTATCAAGGATTCAAAACACACACCATGGCGCCTACGCCTAGTACCTCAGACATTCCCCAAGCCCCACCAGCAGACCTTGCAAACATCAGCTCGCACAACGATGGCTTCAGTCCAGGCGCCATCATCGGCATCGTCATTGCCATTGTCTGTCTCCTCCTCGTCGTCCCTTTGATCGCTGTTTTACTCCGCCGCTACGAAAAATCACGTCTTCGCGAGACACCAAGGATCCCAGACAACAGCGATGCCAGTCTGAGAAGCATAGGCGAGAACCACAGCCTACAACGCATTCTGGTAACAAAAGAGTTATTACGCTCGAGCATAAGGATGGAAAGGATAGACTCAGGGCTAAGGAGGCCCGACGAGGTGTATGGTGGCGGGAGGGAGCGGGAAGAGTCCTGGAGTCATACAGATGTCCAGGGCGGCAGCTGGAAGTGAATGAATGTCATCCCTTGGGTCAGGCCACTTAAACTCACTGCCTCTAACCATTCGAAAATGATACGCATCCAGCGATCGTTGATCCACGGTCCGACGTGGTCAAGCCACCGAGGACCTCCCACCACGTGCGACAGTCGATCAACCGTACACTATTTTGTTCACACCGAGTTTGGTCATCACAAAGACCACTGTTAATAATCTTTCACGTCTTCGTTCATTCCCTTAGCGCTTGATACGAGTCAGAAGTAAAGGGCTGCCCGTTTTTGCAATTGGGTATATTTAATGTCGGTGGCGTGCGCTAAGCCCTCTGAATCGCGCCAAAATGTACTCAATGACGAGTGGTGGCAACCTTCGGATAGCGCCGGCCACGCACGATCATCTTCTTTTTCCTTTATCAGAAGAGAGAGAGAAGCTTCAGTGCTCTACACTCTTCGATACAGATGCATCTGCATCCGCATGTTTTCAAGTTCAATGGGATATTTCAGCCTGTCGTCCAGTCTGAACCATCGACTCTCGTCTTCCTTGACCTTCTCCCAACTTGCTACCTCTTCTTTGCCGCGCTCGTTCGTGTTGCTGCTAGCTTGTTTCAATAATGTATGATCAAGAAGCCATTGCATAGGGTACTTCTTCTCTGCTCCGTTCAAGGTGACTGAAGAGTAGCTTCCGGGGCTATCAACAACCAAGAGCAGTGATCCAGGTTTCAAGACGGAGGTGATCTGGAGGAGTAGCTTCTGGGTCAGGGAAAGTGACGTGGAGTAGAGTTCGTTGAGTGTGAAGAGCAAAGTGACTAGGTGTGCTTCTGCTAGCTGCGACGTCATGTCCGATGCAGATGCTTGCAGGACATCGTGTTGATGAAAGGTGATTGCTATATCCTCCGGCTCCATGAAAGACATGTTTGCAGCTTTCGCGGCAGCTGAAGCGTACTTTGAAAGTGTCGGTGCAGTCGTAAGATGTTTTGCTAGGTTGTCCACCACCACATTCCAGTCTGCGATATCAATAGCCGTCACTTCCATCTTTTTCATCGTCTTCTTCTTCTCATCTTGATCTTTCTTGTCCGAGTCTTTACTGCATAGCAACTTTTGCAATCCTCCCAAGGCGACAATCTCAGCCCCAGCTCCACCACCCAAGCACACGACTTTCCAGCCCCCGCTGCCCATGCCTTCCTCACCATTGGCCGCATCTTCCTTGGGAGTAAACTCCAGTGGTTCTCTCAAATCCCAAAATAAATCAAGATATCCCAACGCGCGACTTGGACTCCACCTCGCCGCATACATTTCAAGGTATTCTGTCTTGCCAAATGCAGTCGCAAAATCGCGATTATACAAATGGCCCTTTACTTGCTGTAGTAGCGGTCCAAAATCGGTGCTCAGGCATTCCGCAAATGAGTCGCGAAAAATGTTCAGTAAGACTTGCTGAAGTTCGACTGGGATGGATTGCTGGACCAGCGTATTGGTGGCACCATCTTCAGTAGAGCGTCGTTCAGGACGTGCCTTGGGTGGTTTATTGGCTTCTCGCTGGGCCTTCCGCTTTGCATTTAGTTTTGAATCCGGGGCCATGGTTGTGAAAAGAGTTAGTATGTGTCGCAGGGCCAGGCCAGGGTCGGCGAGAGTGGCTGGGGGAATCAGAATGGCGAAAGTTTCTTTATCGATAAGTAAGCACAATGTAAGCGAAACAGGCACAGCACAGGTGTGATTCGCCCTCTTCATCTCCACAATCGGAAACATTTCCGATGTTACATCTTTCTCTGCCTCGGATCGATAATGGCAGAGTCATCCTCGGCTCTGAATTCATTGCTCTCTTGATTGTTCCCATATCATCACGCTGGTACTGTAAATTCGTTCCTGGTATATCATTGACACAATGCGTATCCCTTACATTCCCGAGCCGCCAAACTTCACGTCCGAAGAGGACAAGGCAGTTGAGCAACGAGTCAGGGAAAGACGGAGCGAGAAGGGACTGCTTGCTTTGGATCGAGCATTGCTTCATTCTACCCCAGTTGCCGATGGATGGTAAGCACCAAGCGAATAGTGACATGTCTCCACAGCTGTTGTGGAAATGGATAGCAACAACGCTTTGGTAGACAACTGAGTTGTGCTCGCCATGATGGTGCCCGAGACTACTTGCGGATAGATGGAGCAGCATTGCAATGTTCGGAAAACACGTTGACAGTACGCAGGAACTCATTCCTCGGCGCCATTCGCACAAAGACCAGCCTGTCCACTTCGATCCGCGAGACGCTCATGTGCCGCGTTGCCGTCTTGAACCGGGCATGGTATGAATGGGAGGCACACTCCCCAATACTTTTATCAGCACCAGGTATATTCCCCATTTTCGTCTTGACAACGAGCGCCAGTATAGTAAGTCAAAGTCGCTTACAAGATGTTCAGACGTCACGCCAGAGCAAGTGCAAGCAGTGCTGCGCTCGCCACCTCGTGCACCACAAACAGATATTCTTGGTTCTACGTTAGCTAAGCTGATAGCGTACACTGATGCCATGACGCTCGACGTGCAAGTGCCTGATGCCGTGTTTGCAGACTTGAAGGAGATATTTGAGGTGCAGCAGATTGTTGAGATCACCGCCACAATATCAGCGTACAACTGCGTCAGCCGCTTCCTTGTTGCCTTGGATGTGGGCGAGAGAAATGCGCAGACGGGTCCCAAAGAAGGTGCACAGGTGTGAGTGCAAATATACATGTTATTTGATATGCAAAAAAAAATATACATTATTTGCAGTGTATCGATAGACGCCCTCTTCCACGTGCTGTTTGGATTAAGGGAGCTGGACGCTGAAGCAGCGCTTTACACACTGCAGTCTACAAACACGCCTCCACCCCATGCCATTTTTGACCTTGAAAAGAAACCATGCAGCGTCTAGAGAATTCCCAAGTAAGCCACCTTTCACTCTACGACATTCACGCCTTCCTGCTCTGTCTAGCAATCTTCCTCCTCTGTGCCAACATGTGCGTGAACAAAATGTACGATCCGGGCACGTAGATTGCCAGGATAGCCCAGAGCGCATATCCAAACCCTTCGGCCCTTGTGGTTGCCTCTGGGATCGCCTGATACACCAGCCAACACTCGGATGCGATGCCGAGCGGGTAGAGCACGAGGAAGGTGTTGTACCGAAGCCATGTCCAAAGCTGGGGCACACCCATGCCAGACAAGGAAAAAACAAAGTACGAGTAACGAATGACTTCGGTGACGGACCAGGCAAACAGCATAGTGCTGTAGGCTGGGGAATGCCGCGTTGAGAGGGGGAATGCCGGGGGCGATGCGATCAGGTGGACGAGTAGGTAGCGGGAAGCAACCTGCATGAGCGTTGTGAGAAGCGGCGCTCGGACGATGCCTGGTGTGCTTGTAAGCCTTTACGCGCCGCCTATAGGGGACGGACGGGAGAACCTACCAACCAGACTATGGAGCACCTCGAGCCCTGCCAGCGTCTGTACAGCCCTGGTATAGTGCTCAAGGTTGTCATATACTTTTCCGCTCGCCAACCCCCTCTGAATCGCAGTGAACCAATCGCCCTTGCCGAAGATGACGCTGGCCTTGTGCGCGTTCATGATTTCATATCCCCCGATTATCACAGTCTGGTACAGGACGCCCGCCCAGAGTGCAGCCGATACTGCGTTGTACGCAAGCAGATAGGCATTCTTTGCTCCAGACTGCTTCGCAGGCCTTTGGTCGTTTGGCGCAGCGGCCGGTCCTGTTTTCGCTTTGGGTGCCATTTTTGGTTGGGCGGGCTGGGCGTGTCGGGTCCGCTGGCTTTTCTGCGTGTGTACAGTAGAGTTGAAGATGACAAGCGGCGGAGGTGAGATTGTGCGTCCACATGGCCAAAGCCTCGGCTCGGGTACCTGTCTAACCCTGGCTCGCTTGGCTCGCTTGGCGCGGCTAATGGCACGAGCCATGTGCGATGATCTCATGGCACCATTTTAGTTCTTATGCACTCGCGGTAGGCCGCAGCCGCAAATGCCCAAGTATACATCGTATACATGGTTTCCGAGAAGCAGCGTGGGAAAGAAGAAAAAAAGGTATTACTTGTAATAAATACATACGACACATGGCTACAGTTTTGCTCCCGTCGACTCCCATGTGCCCTTTTGATGAAATTCCATGCTTTCCGAACAGCACTCGAACACTGCAAGACGAAAACAAACATCCGGGGCTCGCGCAGCATGCTATGACATTGGAGAACAGCCTGCTACAGTAGACTCCGCCTGAACGCCAAACCATGCAAATGCAACAGACTTGGGAAAACGCCATTATATAAACCTTGAGATAGATATCGGTGAATGCACATGGAAAGAAAACAGAAGACGCAATCCTGGGTATCGCTGGAACATCCCAAGCAGAAAAAAAAGGCGAAAGGAGAAAGCCCGGGAGGCGGGAGATGAGCTTGGAAGCCGCAAAGCATGTACACATGTCCTTGAGGTGTAGGGCCTCGGACCACTAGAGAAAGACTTGAATCATGCTCTTTTTGTTCGATACGTTCTTGTCGCAGCCTTCGACGACACACGTCTTGAACGGATTAGTACTGGCCGGTCTTTCCTTGCCCTTGGCACTGCGCTTCGCAGCTCGGTTGGCGGTGCATTCGCCGCAATAGACCTGTTCATATTAGCTGCATGCTCAAGCATGCTTTTGGGTCGTGACTTACATGACCACAGCCTTTGACAATCCACACTTGTCTCTTGACCTCATCGCTGCCGACACACAATTCTTCTTCGCAGTTGGGACAGACAAGCGCGCCCTCCTCTTCCGGACTTCTTGTGAAGCCCTCTGGTGCTTTTGGCGGTGCGTCGTATGTCGGCGGGGGCGCTGGCGGCTCACGTGTTCGCGAGCCGAGATCAAAGCCTATGGTATTAAAGTCCATGACGGGTGCAACAAACGCACCCAAGCGGATATGCGCATGACCTCGCGATGGATTGCGGGTGGGGGGGATGGGCTCGTGAAAGCGCCCCGCAGTGCGGTTGATTTGGGTATTGAAGCGGTCGACTTGGGCTCGCAGATGTGTGAAGCGGCCGTTGAGCGTGCCAAAAAGATTCAAGACATTGTCCAACTCGCGATTCCTGCGGCGCCGGATTTCAGCTTCTGGTAGGGCGTTCTCGCGTAGAAACTCGACCTCGTCGCCGTCGGAGGTGTTGCCAGCCTGATTCGGACGCGGCAGGCGTCTGGGGTCGATTGTGCGAGACGAAATGAATTCAATGTCAGGGGAACTTGGTTCTGGAGCCGGCGTGGCCATCCTCCACTCTTCCTCTCCATTGTCGAGGTCAATGATGATGTCCATGCCCCGCGGTAAGCGGGGCGCTCCGTGGTTTGCACGACCACGACCCGGGTCATGCTGGTCGGCATGGGCGTGTTGTTGTCTGCCGTTGTGTTCGTCCTGGCTAGCTCCGTATCCAGAATCGTCGGCGGTCAGGTCGATGACGAACTCGTCGTTGCCATTGCTGTTATCATTGTTGTTACCATTGTTGTTGTCATTGTTGTCACCATTGTTGTTGTCATTGTTGTTGTCATTGTTGTGGTTGTGGTCGTGGTCGTGGTCGTGGTCGTTGTCGCCGCTCAGATCGACGGCCGCGTCCTCGTCTTCGCCTGTCAGATCGACCGGCCGCACGTTGCGTTCCCTCGACGACCCTGCCGGGCGCCGGAAGTCGAAGCCGTCTCCTGGATAGCGGGCAGTCACGTGGCTTATCCTGGGCAGGCGGCGATGTAGCCTACTGGAGCGTGACGAGGCACGACCGGCGGGCGAGCGGGCTGCGCGCAGGGCAGACTCAAAGGCAGACATTCTCCGGGGCGGGTGGACGGGCCGGTAGGTATGCGGGATGTGGCGGTGGTCGTCTTCATCGAGGTCTTCGAGGTTGTCGTCGTCGTCGTCAGCGGGTCCTGGGCGTGGGCCGTCATGTGCGGCGGGCGGAGCGTCGTGCGTGCCGGCGAGGGATTGCAGTCTCCAGGCGGGCGAGGCAGAGCCCTCTTGGGCCATCTGGGCATGAGGGCGCTGTGGCGGGTCGTCGTCAGCGTCGATTCACACGCTTCCCCTGCCGTCTATCCATGACGGGGCAGCACTCACTTTGTGGCGTCTGTGCGGGTGCCCCCACGGCCGCTCTCCTCCTTCCATGGCGGCTGCCGGCGCGGTCGAGGAGCAAAGGGCGAGCACGAGGCGAGGCGAGGCGAGGCGTGGCGTGGCGGTGGGCGTCGAGCAGGGCGGGCGTGTCGTGCGTGCAGGTGTGGTTGTAGGTGTAGGTGGAGGTGTAGCGCAGCTGTGCTGAGGTCGGCGAAACTCGTCGTCGTCCCTGGTGGCAAGCAAGGATGGCGCCTTGGGAACCACCCGGCCTGCCTGTGCCTCTGCCTGCGCCCGCGGCGACAAATCACCCGCACGCCTCCCTTTCACCCTTCACCGCGGCCCTCAACCTGAAACAGTCACAATCAACAGCACAATCACAATCAACCCCTCGCCGTCTGCCACCGATGCCTCTTGCTCGTGCCTGTCCAAGAGGCGCGCAGAGCGTGACGTAGCTAGCTAGCACCACCCAACCCTTCTTAGCACATGCATCGGCCCAACATGACTTCTCAATTGATACTCCGGCGTCTGCACTAATATTGCTACAACCCAATTTGCGCCGCACCATGCTTTTCTCAAAATCAAGAATATGGCCCCTCGTCGGCTGGCCCTCTCCCTTGGTGCTTCGACACCATCTCAAGTCCATTCGCTCTGCAGTAGTCGAACCAAAAAAAAACCGGCCTTGGCCAGTTGCTGCCATTTCCAGCCTCTATCCATCGTCTGCGCTGTATCGCGCAAACCACAAAGTCCTTCCCAAGCCGCGTCTTCCCTTTTTTTCATGAGGTTGTAGTAATATTACGGGGGTTCAACGAGTATTAGGTCCGACTCTAAGGGGCTGCCAACACCGCCAGCCCACCCTCTGGTGTCAGAGCAACTACGCTCTCGGCTTTTCCGCTCCACGCAACGTCCTGGGCCGGTAACGCCTTTCTCACAAGTTCGGCCCAGCTCTTGGTTGCCTTTGTGAACTGCTGCACCGATACGCTGCCAGTACCGCCAATCGCCAGGTACATGCCACTGTAGTCCCATTCGCAGCACGTGACTGGGCTGCCAGACTCGAGTGTGTACAGGACGGCCTGCTTCCGGATGTCCCACACAGACACGCTGGTCGAGCCCTTTTGCACAACGGCGAACCAGGTACCGTTTTCTGCAAACTTGACATCAACAATCGGCGCGCCAGTTTCTAGCTGGGCCATGGCTGTTCCGGTTTTGATGTCGTAGATGCGCATGTTGCCATCGGAGCTGGCGACGAAGAATAGCATGCCGTCGACATGGAAGGCGACGCTGGTGATTTCGGCTTCGACGTACACTTGAGATACCGTCTTGAATGTCGCCAGTTCGTGGACGGCATAGTGCTTGTCGGCACCTGCAGTTGCTAGCATCTTGCCGCTGGGGTGGACCGACATGGACGTAACAGCCCCGGCATGCGATGCTACTTGGCCAACCTCATTGCCGTCTTCGAAGATCTTGGCGACGCCCGTTGATGTTCCCACCACTGCGCGACCTCCACACCATGCTGCTGCTGTGACTGCGCTACCGACGTTGAAGGTCTGTGTCACCTTGCCCTCGGCCAGCGCATAGATGCCAGCAGTGCCGTCAGATCCACCAAACAAGACCAATCCGTCTTCTTGCACAGCAATGCTGCTGCTGCCTGGGTACATGGCCTCGGTCGTCTTGACCAAGTCGTAGTTGGAAATGACCTCGCCCGTAGCCCAGCCGGCGGGTACAGCTCGTTTTCGGCGCGAACCAAACAACCTGAATTTGTCAGCAAGTTTCTGCCGAGTCGCATACAAAGGACCTACTCTTGCTGTGTGTCGTCGACAACCTTGACCAGGTCCTGGGGCAGACCCTGACCATCGACCTGCATAGCATCGCCCTGGCCGCCCCCACTGATGGTGACATTGGATAAGGCCTCCCGCGCCTCGTCCCGCTCTTTCGTTATCCGTGCAATCACTCGTGTCGCGGCGTCGTTCTGGTACAGCGCAGTACTCAGCTCCTGCCTCGTTTGCGCCAAGTGCTGCTTGAGCGTGTGTGTCTCCAACACCAAGGCATCCCATTCGTTCTGGAAAGCACTGAGCATGGCGGGTATCGAGGTCAAGTTGGGCGCGCGTGGAGTAACGACATTGGGCGACTTGAGCTCGATCAGGTCCTCGGGCGCGAGGTCCTCGCCCGTAACGGGGTCGGTGTGGTGTTCTGCGATATGCGCCTCGATGAGACGCTTCTCAAAGACGTTTCCGGACTTGCGCGAGGCCACGGGCTCGCGGGGAGCTTCGCCGGAGATTGCGCAAAGCATTTTGACGTGTTGTTGGTGGTTGTGATAGTGAAGCTCGATAGCAAGTCGCGTTTGAACTTTTGCAGAGCTGCATGCGCGCGCTAGTCATGTGGACCGTGCGGGTGCCAGGCATCGCATCGCCATGGCCATGGTCAGGTCCTGGTAGCATGGCCATTGTTGCCTTGAACATGCAGCATTCGACGGCAATATTTTGTTTACCGACACTTGCTTTCCTACCATGGTTGCTCGGTTGAATCAAGACTTGCTTACTGACTGTTCCAAATAGTAACGAGCATCAGCATCATGGCGATATCGACGAGACTTCAAAGCCAGGCTTCAACAAGAGCATCACAGCATTGGTCTCCGCAGAAGCGTGGACATGCCGAAATGCCTTCCTCTCAATACAAAAAATGCCTGTCTTGGACGCAATCCAAAGGCGCAAAGCAACTTGGCGGTAACATATCCTACAACCTGCCTTGCCTGTCCACGGTCAAGCAAGAATCACCCCACGATCAAGTCATCTCTGTCAAGCAGCACACTCTCCTACTTCTTCTTCTTCTTCTTCTTCTTCTTCTTCTTCTTCTTCTTCTTCTTCTTCTTCTTCTTCTTCGTCGTCGTCGTCGTCACCGAATCTGCGTCCGTGCCGCTTGCCAGCATCTTCGGAAACGGAGCATAGGCACCAGGTGTGGGTGTGGATGCGATGTGTGTAGTAGCCCCGGTCCGACAGACAGCCAATCGCCGCACGTGCGGGCCGAGATGCACCCAACCGGATCACCCCAGGCGGGCTCCACTTTTCCCATCTCTCTCCACGTCGGACTAGGCAACCTGAGGTCCTCCACTTGTACCCCGGAATCGTCATTTGCCTGCATTCTCCCACCCACGCCAGAGCTCGAAACGGACTCCTATCCCGCGACACAAGCACGTCTAGCGCGCGTCTCCGGCTCCAGTAATGCCGTCGTGTTGCTTCTTTGGCAGTGCCATCGTTGCCAAGCCCTGCAGCAGTGCCACCCCGTGATGGCGGTATTGCGGGGGAGTGCGTCTTGGGCGCGCCCGGTGCTGCTGCAGTTATGCAGACGGAGAGTCCTAACCGATTCCGCGTTTCCTGCCTTGTTGCAGTGCTTCTTCGACTAGTCAAGCTGACGCCACGGGCTTCAAGTATAAAAAGCGCGCCGCTTCCTCCACAGGCCAGCATCAGCTCTGGTCTCTGCCTCCCCAAGCACCAGCAGACACCATGATCACCAAAGGGCTTCTTGTTCTTGGATCGGCAATTCCTGCCCTGGCAGGTCAGCTTGCCGAACGCCAGAGCTCGCCTCTCAGCAACTGCCCTGGCTACAGGGCCAGCAATGTCCAGAATCTGGGTTCCCGGGTTACCGCAGACCTTAGTCTTGCCGGTACAGCTTGCAATGTCTATGGCGATGACCTGACCAACCTCAAACTCGAGGTCGAGTATCAGACTGGTATGTCATCAAGGCCGGTTCGACCTAATCCCAGCATGCTAATTCCCATTGACAGAGGACCGACTTCACGTAAAGATCTATGACTCTGCCGAGCAAGTCTTCCAAATACAAGAGTCGGTCTGGCCTCGCCCCTCAGACAATAAAAACATTGCTCCAGAACAGTCGGCTTTGGCTTTCACCTGGACCGACAGCCCGTTTTCTTTTGCCATCAAGCGCAGGGCAACCAATGAGACGCTCTTCGACACCTCGGCAGCTTCTCTCATTTTCGAGACGCAGTACCTCCGTCTGAGAACGAGTCTGCCGCGTTCCCCGAACCTGTACGGTCTCGGTGAATCAACGGATTCTTTCCATCTCAACACCACCAACTACACGCGTACGGTGAGTTTTGGCTCCTCCCAAATGAAAATTAAACAATTACAATACTAATTTGCTCAGCTTTGGAACCGCGACGCTTACGGCACACCACCCGGTACCAACCTGTATGGATCTCACCCAGTCTACTTTGATCACCGCGGCAGAAATGGCACGCATGGTGTTTTCTTAGCCAGCTCTGAAGGTATGGACATCAAGATTGACGACTCGGACGGCCAATTCCTTGAGTACAACACTCTCGGCGGAGTTCTTGATTTCTACTTCCTTGCCGGACCCGGACCAAAAGAAGTCGCAACTCAGTACTCAGCTCTTTCGGGTCTGCCTGCTATGATGCCATACTGGGGTTTCGGTTCGCATCAGTGCAAGTACGGATACCGTGATGTCTGGGAGGTCGCTGAGGTCGTAGCAAACTACTCAGCTGCTGGTATTCCGCTTGAGGTGAGATCCAAGAATGTGGGAGTAACGGGCTTTTCTTGCTAACTTCTGCAGACCATGTGGACCGACATCGACTACATGGAGCTTCGGCGCCTGTTCACACTTGACCCTGAGCGTTACCCGCTCGAGCTTGTTCGCCAACTTGTAGAATATCTGCATGCCCACCAGCAGCACTACATTGTCATGGTCAACTCTGCTGTGTGGAGTGGCGATTATGATGCCTACAGGAACGGTGCTAAACTCGAGGTTTTCCAAAAGAAGAGAAACGGAACATTCCACCAGGGCGCCGTATGGCCGGGCCCTACGGTCTTCCCTGACTGGTTCCATCCAAAAACCCAAGAGTACTGGGATGGAGAATTCGCACGTTTCTTTGACCCTGCTACTGGCGTTGATATCGACGGTCTGTGGAACGACATGAACGAGCCTGCCAACTTCTGCCCATATCCTTGTCCGGACCCAGAAGGTCGGTTTTTTATTCTGTGGACTGGAGTTGTATACTGATAATCTTCTAGCGTACTCCGAGGAGTCTAAGAACCCGCCGAAGCCGCCGCCAGTGCGTGATTCCGCAGGCGGTCGTCGCATCCCCGGCTTCCCAGCAGGTTTCCAGCCGTCATCTAACTCTAGTGCTGCAAGACGTTCCGTAGAAGCTGCTGCCTCAGCTGCTCAGTATATCAAACGAAGTGGCTCTAAGCGTCAGGCTTCTAACAACACCCAAGATCTTGCTGCGCATCGTGGACTTCCTGGTCGTGATTTGATCAACCCTAAGTACCAAATTCAGAATGCCGCGGGCTCAATCAGCAACAAGACAATGGATACGGATATTCAGAATTACGATGGTACTTACCACTACGACACACATAACTTCTGGGGCTCAATGATGAGCATTGCCTCCCATGCATCCATGCAAAAGCGCCGTCCCGAAAGGCGCCCGTTCATCATCACCAGGTCATCTGTAGGTCATCTGTCTTTCCCGCTACAGCTTCAAAAAACACTGATACTTGAATAGTTCGTTGGCCTTGGTTCTTACCTTGGAAAGTGGCTCGGCGACAACGTTTCTGAGTGGGCGCAATACCGCTTCTCGATTGCCGGCGTCCTCAACTTCAACACCATTTTCCAGATTCCCATGGTTGGTCCCGATATCTGCGGTTTCGCGGGAAACACGACAGAAACCCTGTGCGCGCGATGGGCAACTCTTGGTGCTTTCTATCCATTCATGAGGAACCACGCTGGAGACACTTCGATTAGCCAGGAATACTACCGCTGGCCTTTGACCATGGCTGCAGCCAAGAACGCAATCGCAGTCAGGTACAGGCTGTTGGATTATTTCTACACTGCTTTCCATCGCCAGACGACTACCGGATTGCCGAGCTTGAACCCTCTATTCTTCCACTATCCCTCCGACTCCAAGACGTTTGCCATTGAACACCAATTCTTCTACGGCGACAGCATCCTTGTCTCGCCTGTTTTGGAAGAAAACTCGACTTCTGTGTCCATCTATCTGCCCAACGACGTCTTCTACGACTACTGGACCGGCAAGCGCGTGCAAGGAAATGGCGAGTACATCAACTTGACCGACGTGGGTTTCGACACCATCCCACTGCACGTCAAGGGCGGCTCGATCCTGCCTCTTCGCGCCGAATCCGCCAACACCACCACTGAGTTGCGAAAGCAAAACTTTGTCCTCTGGATCGCACCCAACGCCACCAACCAAGCCACGGGATCTCTCTACCTCGATGATGGCGACTCGCTAAACCAGACATCCACATCCATGATCAGCTTCACTTTCAACAATGGCGCCTTCAGCATGACGGGCGACTTTGGCTACAAGACCAACTCGGTAATCCAGAATATCACCATCCTCGGTACCAGCCAGAGCCTCCAGGGCCCAGTGCCTCTGACTGGAAACTGGCAGCACAACTTTGGTGCTGGCGCAGGCATTCCCCTGTCCTCGGGCGACGCAACGCAAAAGCGTTTCGGGCCCGCCGCGGTATGGGCTACAGTCTTGTGTTCTGCCATTATCTTGTTGACCTTGTAAAAAAAAAGTGATGTGGAGACGACGACGATGGCAACAAGTAATGTATATAGGTAGCGAACTGAGCTTTCACTGAAAAAGACGAAATAGATGTATATGAATACACACGACTTTGGCTTTTCCATTCCAAAAAAAAACTAATATAACACCAACAATGATCACACTATGCAATATACTTGGCCCCCTCCCTCAACGGACTCCTCCCCACCTTCATGCTCATCGTGCGCTCGTGCAACTCCTTGGGCGTCATCCAAATCGGAAGCATCGCAGGAGGGATGTCCCGTAACTCGCCCTTTGCCGTGAGCCGAGAAAGCTGCTTGATCCTCTGTCGGGTAGCAAACGACAAGTTGTTCTCGTAATTCTTGAATCTGCCATTGGTCTCGAGGTAGTGCTTCAACTGCAGTCGTCTTTTGCACAGCGTCGCAGATGCCAAGCGTTGTTTTGTTCGCGTTGTACGTTTTCTAGTCAAGCTGCCGCTCTTGGTTTGAAGATTGTTGGGGAGCGCTCGTGTGATGATGGGTTTGGCGGGCTTGGGGCGAGCTTTCGAGCGTGTGCGTGAGGAGGGTGGCTCAATACGTTCTGCTCTGGCCGCGCGGAAGAGACGGACTCTCAGGCGCATGCACATCGTGGAGAAGGAGCTCATGGTAAGTGATATCCGAGGGTTGTGGTTGCAAGTAGATTTGGGGCTTTGTTGAAGTCGAAGGGATGATATAGGGGTAAGAAGAGAGATATTTAGACGTGTAGAGAGATCTGTGGGACAATAGGTTCGCTGAAGTAGGGTGTCGCAATAGAGCAGAGTGTAGCAAGGGTTGGTTGATGTCATTGTACTTATTGTGGGGTGGTGAAAGTGAAGTCGGCCTCTTTCTATGCACCGCTCAAGTTCACCGGCAGACGCACTGACATGGGTCCCTCTCGGATGCTTTCAAATCTAATCGTGGCGTGATGTTCCTGCTATGGCATAGTGAATGTACATAGTGGGTGGTACAAAGTCAGTACTGAGGCCTAGTGACTTTGAGGACTTCTCAATCAACCGACAATACGCTTCCAGAGTTGGCCTGGACCAGGACGCACCATTCACTCTCTTCGGATTTCTTGATTCCATGAAATGGCTGGCGATGCAAATACTTTCCTAATATTTTCTTTACAATACCGCTGTAATGTAAATATAAAGATGCACGCTGCATATGAGATCGGGTACAAGCGTGTTCCAGTATCTTATCGTGATTGAGCTTTCGAGCATGATTAGCAAAGACATGAATGATGATGATGGTGTTCACAAAAGGACATTCTGTATGCAGGAACGGGTATTTCCATTGGTAGTGTTGCGTTATCCGCACTCTGCCATACACCGTTGGTTGTGTCGTGACTGTCATTTTCGTGTTTCCTGTGCCAAGCATCTTCGTGCGTCGTCAAACACGCTGCGCACCTGCGTCCTGGGGTCAGGCTAAGTAGGTATAGTGATGTGGAGTATTCTCAATGCGGCCTTTATCACTTCTTGCCCTTCTTTTTCTTCTTGCCCCCTGTGCCCGCTCCAGCCTTGGGTTCGGGTGCGGTGCCGCCCATCTTGACATCGCCGCTCTCATCAACCTGCGGCGTCGATGTGTTCTCGCCACCAGCTGGCATGCTCAGGTCCTCTGTCGTCTCTGGTAGCGCTGCCATGTGCCTTCCGAGTCTCCCCAGATTTCCAATTAATCGCCCAACCTCGGCGCCCTTGTTCGTTTGGTATTGCAGACATGTCCCCGACTCTGGGTCGTATGTCTTCAGCGTAAAGGTGGCCGTTACTTCTTCGGGATCCTGGGCCGGCGGTGGTGATGAGGCTCGCGTCGTGTCTACCGGCCGGGCTGCCTTCTTTTCTTCATACTTTTGGCGCTTCTTGATCTTGGAGGCTGTGGGTTTGAGGACTGAGTATTTGGATGTGATTCGTGTCTGGCAACTCGATTAGAAGAGCGTGTCGCGTGCGTGACGGAAGGCTTTCTCGTACGGTGGTTGGACGGGCTTTCAGCAGCAGCGATGACTGCTCGTACCACTCCGCGCTGGTAGCGAAATAGGGCATCGCGACAATTGCGGGTCGTCTGGGCGCGCAATTGCAAGGTCGAGGATGGTTTGGTAGCTGCGGTATGCGGGCAACTTTTGGCGGGGTTGTTCTCGGGCCAACGTCGGCCTCAACTCGCGCCCTCGCCCACTACACATCACGGTTTACCAGGCAACTCTAAACGACTGCTCGCGACTTTCATTAGCCATTTGCGGCATTGATCCAGGCTGCCGTGCATGTCGAGTTGGCGTCGACCCCTTCTCGCAGCTTCTATACTAACAGGCTTGACTCACGGTCTTCATGGCTTCAACGCAAAGAACGTCTCTTCCTCGGTTTTCGTTACGGCAGTGGACATTGACTTCGCCTTGAAAGTCCTCTCCTTTCATGACTACTGGCGAAGAAAGAAGAACTTACTTCTGTACATGGCACCCGTCTTGGCCTTGCCATACTTGCGTCTTGTCCATTTCTAACTCCAACTCCAACTACAGTTACCTCTTCCGAATCTTGGCATCATGACGGACGACATTACTAGAGACATGCACAACTTGGATCTTGAGCATGAGCCTGCTCCGGAAAAAGTACCTACCCCAAGAGCCGAACTAGAAGCCACCATCCAATCATTAGTAGAACGCGGGAAACGTCTGCACGATGAAGTAGAGACTTATGTCGCTGCGGTACTCGAGAAACAAAAAGTAGGCAAGGTTTACAATCCAGTCGAGTACGTAACACCAGAAGAGATTGGTATACTCCGTGGTACCAGCATAGCTTCATTGATCAACCCTCCACACCATCTCGTACATGCAGCCTCTGAGCATGACTGACCTGACCAGATATCGTAACCTGCGCAATGACATGCGTAACGAGCTAGCCTTTCTCAAGAAACTAGTAGGCTCCAACATGGACGAAGAAAAAGCTAGACACTACATTGTGTCATCCAACCTACTCTACTACGAAGCATTATGGAGCGCAGCAAAGCGCTCCCATAGTCTTCAAAGCTTCAGAAAGTACTTCTTCTGGGACCGCCACACGGTTCCAGCCGGAAAACGCACAACCAAAGGCCTGAGTTTATCCAAGGGCAGCCAGAGCAAGAACAAGACGGCTGCACTTGTTGACATTGTCGCCGAAGAAGGCAGCGAGTGGATTCGCGTCTCGACGGTTTCTGAAAAGCGCATCTTATTCGATCTCGCAAAGTTAGGCTGGGTCAACGATCCAGACTCGGACGACGACGAAGACATGCTAGATGCGCGCCCGATTGGCGACGATGAAGATGACGAGGACCAGGTGGACGTGGTGCGAAATGCTCGTCAACTTGCCCGCGCTGCACGAGCAAATCCCATTCGCGGCCGGCCGCCCCAGGTGCGCTTCGTACTCACCAGAGTGGAAGCAGGAAAATCACCGCCTGTTGATACCGTTATCAACAAGATCCGCGCTACGGGCGCCATTGTGCAATGCGGCGACGCCATTCCGCCCGCGCCCTCGATAGAAGCGGTTCTGCCCCAGCTTCTCATTGACCGGTCGCGTGCTCTAAGCAACACGCTGAACATTGACTGTACCATCTTACTCGCTCTCATATCAGACATATCGCACAAGCCCTGCCCGATTCTCGACTGGTACCCCGGCGAGGTGCGCGCGCAGATTGAAGAGGAAGCCGAAGAGCACTTGCTGCCCACGCATTTATACCCAGCTATCCAAGCACACCCAATGGTGTGCACGCGCGAAGCAGCCGACCAAATGAACCTAATTGTGCAGACTCTGGCGACGGACACGGAGAAACTAAGGGCCGACCTGCTGCTCGGCCAGGGAGACTGGGCAGCGCGGTCTATGGAAGAGCTGGTTGCGGAATGGGTAGGTTTGTTATTTTCCCATTATCATCATACAATTTTGTTTCATCTATCACGTAACTTACAAGCTGTGTCAAACTAGGCAAGTATATCCGACTACGCCCCTCCATCTGGTTTCTCCCTTCCCATAACCGTGCAATCCTTCGACCCCTCGACCATGACCTCTACGCTTCCCGCTGTGGCATCCACCATCGCACACGAACTAGGTCCCCTTAACACATCTATTTTCCTCTACGGCTGGGCAAACAATATCACCACGCTAAGCGCCAACCGTGGACGAGCCCGCCAGATAGAATCCATTATCAACGAGCATGGACTGAAGGACGGTGAGACCGGGTCTCACATCTGGCTTTGTGGTGAGTCGCGCAGTTTGATTGCCAAGCATGGGCGTCGAAAGTAAACTTGCATCCTACAGAATGGAGATTGGGGGGGGGGAGGGAAGGCGAAGACAGGAAAATACAAAAGGCTGAATTGTAATAGTAGGGGCGACACGCGCTTTTAGAAAGCCAAGGCCTGGAGAAGGTACGGATGAAGAGAGGAGGCTGTGGCAGAGTGGATCGAGAGGGCGTAGGTTGATGTATCATGCATAGCTGGGTGTGAATACTCTTGCGCAATCTACACATCGACTGTGGTTTTCGTAAACATAGTTTACAATGCATAATCGTTTAGTGTACTTGAGGATAAAGAAATATGGTTGTATCGAATCACTTCCAAAGCATGGATAACATACAATGTCCCTATACCTACTTTGCGTAGACATGGTTGACTGCGATGGGAAGCAACATGAATCCATATTCACACTTGGTGTTTTTTTGTACACACATTACACGGTCGACATGCACACATGAATCTCAGATCAAAAGTTATGATACACAGCAAAGAATTCAACGACATGCACACCACTTACGCGACTTTCAAGACGAGATGGTTCATGTACGTGTGTACGTGTTCGTGTACCTAAGGAAATAGAGAGAGAGAGAGGGAAGGAGAAGGAGAGAAACACTGACACAAACCATCATACGATAAGCTCACCAAGCTCGGAATATCAAGACATCCCTAACTGTGTGGTGGCCTTACCTTGATGCTTGAAGCATTGAAGATAGGGGGGGGAAAATACATGTTTGTTTCATCCAGACTTACACAGACATATACCTACATTATGAATGGACCTACCCAAGCATAAGAGAGAGGAACCAACAAAGAAACACTAGAATAAAGGTATAATGAGATGGATGGAAAAAGGCGAGAAATCGGCAAGTAAGACATGTGCAGGAAGAAAAAAAAGATCACCTGTGTCCTACCCGTTGTCGTTGTTTAGGGAATCTTTCTTCCTTCTCTTTCTTTTTTGGTTGTTTTTCTTTTCTGCCCCAGCAAAGTAAAGCATGTTGAAGTCGGGACAGATTTGGAATAATGGTAAGTTGGCTTGATGGGAATGCTGTGGCTCGTTGCTGCTATACCTTTTGAAGCTGCCAGTGAGACGGTGACTTGATATGGCGTAAGAACCACGTGGTAGGGATGGTTCGAGGTATTGGCGGTGCCTAGGGGTGTGGGTGTGGATGTGGATGTGGTCTGGTGTATGCGCGTTCTTACCCTCCTTTGCTGCGCTGCTGTGTAATCGAACGTCAAGAGCTGAACAGAGTCGATCTTACCCTCATTGACGGGAAAGGGCTGGGGCGAAGAAAAGGGAGGTAACCTTTGACAAACCCTTGCACAAGAAGGCTTAGCCATCTGCCAGGCTTAATATCGTCGTCGTGTCCGTGGATCGTCATAGCTGTCGCCGTCGTATGCGCGCTTCCGTGAGCCTTCGTCTCGGCCTCCATCACGACCTCCGTCTCGACCTCCGTCTCGGCCTCCGTCTCGACCCCCATCTCGGCCTCCACCATATCCACCATCGCGGTCGCGGTATCGATCTCTGCTGCCGAGCGGTTCATTGTTAGCGCCGCTGGATCCTCGATCGTAACCGCCACCGCCTCGTCGGTCGTCGTATCGTCCGCTGCCACGATCGCCTCCGCCTGGTCTGTCCCCGCCAAATCCGCTGCCCCGTGGACCGCGGGGACCAGCTGGAGCGCCATCGGGAGGTCCATAGCCGTTGGATTGATATCCGATGCCTCCGCGTCCGCCACCGTAACCGCCGCCGCCGCCGCCGCCGCGACCTCCGCCGCCGAAACCACCACCACGGAAACCTCCTCGATCACCAGCAAAGCCTCCACGGCCTCCGCCTCGTCCGCCGAAGCCACTGTTAAAGCCACCGCCGCGGCCTCCAAATCCGCCAGGTCCGGCAGGAGCGCCTCCAAAGCCGCCAGAACCACCAGGGCCACGAGCAGCTGGGCCCTTGGTATAACCGCGGCCACCAAGGCCGCCGCCAAAACGACGCGGGCGCCAGCCAGAAACTGTGCGGCCGCGCTCGACATCGACAAGGACACGTCGGTCCTTGATCTTGACGCCGTCCGTCTCCTTGTACGCAGCCTTCATGTCCTTTTCGCGCTCGTACACAATGAAGGCATAGCCGCGCTTTCGCTTCTTGGCTGGCGCGTCGGGCGGCTGGGTGACGTCTTCGACGATGCGGATGCGCTCAATGGGGCCGTAGCGGCCAAATTCGCGCTCGAGGTCATCAGAGGTGACACCGTAGGACAGACGAGCAACAAACAGCGTCTTGAAGGCGTCGCCCTGGACCTTTGGATCTTCTGCCGGCTTATCTGGAGCAGAGTTAGCGAGGCGGCATACGTGCGCGCTGCCAAATACACGTACAATTCTTGACGCCCTCGGTGATGAGCTTCTCCTGCTTCTCAAGCTTCTCAAGCTTCTTACGATCGCGCTTCTGCAGCCAGCTATCCGTCGGCACGTAGCCGTCGTTGTCCTTGTATTCCCTCAGAGCGTCCATGTACTGCGCGATGCCGCCAATCTTGGGCGTGCAGCGCTTTTCGGGCGCGTGGTCGGTAGGCTCCACCCAGCGCAGCGGCGGGCGCGGGGCGAACAGGTTCAACAGCATGGGCGGAAGGAGATGGGTCATGGTGGGCTGAGCTCTGGAATGCGCTCCAGATGGCGATGTGGCGCAGTTGGAATTATGGGGGTGGTCGAGAGAGTGACGATGGAAGGGGGTTGTGGTCCTCGGGGGAATGTGATGCTTGGGCGAACGAAGTTGCGACGCGGAGTTCGCACTAGCGCCGACCAAACCCAGGCTGCGACCACAGCACGTGAGAGCGAGAGAGTTTGGCCGCCGACACCGACACCGACACCACGGCAATTGCACGCCCAACATGCCGCTCGCCGCGCTCAAGACGGTTGCAAAGGCCCAGGTAAGCTCCCCGGCGCGGCGCCTCGCCTGGCGTGTGGCAATGGCAATGGCAATGGCGCCTGCTAACGCACAAATGCGCACAGAATGGCGTGGGCGCCTTTGTCCTGCCCTGCAAATCCCTAACCTTCCACTACTGCAACTGGTGGGGGTCGTCTCGCGGCATGAATGCCTTTATCAAGTCTTCGCTGCCGGCTTTTGCGAAGCGCAACCCCCAGATTGAAATCTGCGTCAGCCCACGGCCAGCCCACCACCCCGTCATCATCGCAAACTACATCAATGGCGCCCAGCGGTCAATATGCGTCAAGAACCTGCAGAACGAGGGCGTGCGCGAAAAGGCCGAGATGCTGAGGAATAGCACGGGAGAGAAGAACAGGAAGCTGGATGGCCGTCCAGTGAAGAGTCTGAACGAGAGTGTGAGGGGTGTGTGGAGTCCATTCCACGGCAGCAAGATTAAGATATGAGCGTCCGAGGCAGCCGGAGGACGAGGGTCACGTAGAAATGCGAATACTTGAGGATCCAAGGCACAGTTTCTGGCGATATCAGACCAAGCGAGTCCAACCACACGACCATTGCGGCCAGCGCGAACAAGGCTCGGATAGAAGCCAACGCATGCAAAGACGCAAATCTGGGCGCAGCATGCACATCATTTGTATAGTCATTGTAACAAAAAAAACAGAAACACGACAAGTTGGTCTTCGTAAGCGTTCATTATGCTCAACCTATGTGGTTTCTAGCCAAGCGGTATTTCTCATAAGATCGTCACTATCCGTCCAGCGCAAGCTTCAGTCACTTATAGACGAGCATCGCTCTTGGGGATTCATGCCTGGTGGCTGTTGATGATGTCAACAAACGCAGGCTTCAAGCTGGCACCGCCGACGAGGAAGCCGTCAATGTCGGGCTGCTTGGCAAGCTCCTTGCAGTTCTTCTCCGAGACACTGCCGCCGTACAGGATGCGCGTCTTCTCAGAAGCCTCGGGAGAGATTTCCTTTGCGAGCCACTCACGGAGAGCGGCGTGGACCTCCTGAGCCTGCTCAGTGGTAGCAACCTTGCCGGTGCCAATGGCCCTGGTGTTTGTTAGTGCCGTGTTCAGCGGCTAGAGTTTGGGCATGCCGGCATACCAGATGGGCTCGTAGGCAATGACAATCTTGCTCCAGTCCTTGACCTTGCTGGCAACAGCCTTGAGCTGCGTGGTGACAACGTTGACGGTCGAGCCCGCCTCGCGCTGCTCCAGGCTCTCACCGCAGCAGAGAATCACGCTCAGACCACCGTCAATGGCCGCCTTGGTCTTGCTTGCGACAAAGTCGTCGCTCTCCTGCAGAATCTGGCGGCGCTCAGAGTGGCCCAGGATGGTCCAGGTGATGCCGCTGTCCTTGAGCTGTTCAGCCGAGATCTCACCCGTGAAGGCGCCGTTGGGCTTGTCGAAGACGTTTTGGGCGGCAACCTCGATGCCCTTGCGGAGGTGTTCGCGGGTGAGGAGGAGGTAGAGGGCTGGTGGTGCGATGACAACCTCTGTTTTCATCCATCAGCTTGCGGTCCTTGCAGTCGTGTGGCTCAGGCTCCCAGTCCAGTTTGCTTACCGGTGTTCTCATCGAGCTTGGCCTTGTTGAGGTTCTCGACGATTTCGGTGATCGACTTGATCGTACCGTTCCTTTAGCACTGTCAGCTCTTTGCCGTCGCCGTGCGGGAACTCACAGCCCGCGTTGTCACGTACATCTTGAAGTTTCCACCGACGAAGAATTGGCGACCCATTTTGGCGGTTGTTGATATAGGGACTGGCTAAGAAAAAAAAGGCGATGTAAGGGTATCACGGAGGGTCAATGTCAAGTTGGAGATGGAGGTGTTGAGAAAAGCGTTGTCGAGCTGAGCTGCTGCTGGTGTTAAAGTTTGGCGGGGGGGTACGCGGGGCCAGTGACGTCTTAAGCGTCTGGCCGAACCGGGACTTTCCTCTGAAACAATGGAGACTCGGAACGGCGGTGCCCATGGCTGAAATTTCTTTTCGCAATCACCATTGGCATTGGCAGCCGTTGCTCTTCCGGCAGGTGCTGCTTGGATGGGCGTTCAGCCAGCGGCAGAAGGCTGGGCTGCCTCGTCTGCATCATGTTTTTTGGCCAGTCGACGCACATGGGCAGCCACAAGACAGGCTCGAGTGGATTGTCTGCTCGAGGCTGGCAGACCCGACGAGAGACGAGCATGGCCGAAAGCCCCACGGATCGACCCGAAGTTACCCTTTGGCCAAGCCTCGTGCAGCCAACACTGTCGGAACCTCACATGTACTTGTCGCTAGAACTACATACCTTAGTAACAACCCACACCAACACCATGCCTGGGCCTGCAGCACAAACCAAGGTCGACGGAGCGCCAGTCGTGTACGGTCTCTCCCTCACCCGGCTCACACAATGCGCACACTGGCACTCTCCGCTCGACATCATTGCCGTCAAGCATTTCTGCTGCAAAAAGTTTTATGCCTGCATCAGCTGCCACGATGCACTCGAGACACATGCATCAGACGTCTGGCCATGTACTCGCCGCGACGAAGGCGCTGTGCTGTGTGGGCAGTGCAGACACGTCTTGACCGTCAACGAGTACCTCGAGAGTGGGAGCAGATGCACAGAGTGCGGCAGCGCATTCAACCCCGGCTGCAAGAAGCATTGGGGGCTGTATTTTGAAGTGGGCGACAAGAGCAGCGAGTCTTGAGTCTGACTCGACACAAACGACTTTCATGCGTATTATTTGAGCGTATATGGCCTACTCTAGACATGTCAACTAGATGCGTACCTATGCGTGTAGCCTTGCCGCTTTCCCCTTGTCATTTCACATTAGACTATATGCTGAATACATTACCTGCCCGTACGTCGTGCACTATGCATAACCAAACAGCATTCCCCGTGCCCCACTCTTACTACATGTTATACAGGTTGAATACTTATTATTACGTCTTGCACAAGATGGCTTCCCACCCAAGAGTCCACTTCACGCTGCCCATGATAATGAGCAGGAGCGAGAAGCCCGCCACAACACTCAGAGTGGAGTATATATACGCCGCTTTCCTCTTCAGCGTATCGATTTCGACAATCCACGTCGACACGGTCGTCAGACAGCCACAGAATCCGTCCATGATGCCCTGCAGCACCTGGCAACCCACCACGCCCCCGCCAACACGGCCCGTAGTGCTCAGCGTCACATGCTGCAAGTCATATGCCATGCCAATCACTGCCGTGCCAAACGTGTTGACAGTAAAGGTGCCAACGGGGAACGACGGGTTGATCGGGTTCAGGTGCAGGGAGATGTAGTATCTGAGCAGGCATCCCATGGGCGCAAACACACACGCGAAGAGGGCCTGACTGCGCCATGCATCCTTTGGCGGAACAGCCACCATGATGACAGCCCCAATCCACACGCCCCAGCCCAAGACAACAAAAATGGGATCGACAACGCGGCGCATGAGGCGAAAGGGTAGCGTGGGTGTGATGCCATCTAGCGCCAGGGCTAGGTGCGCGCCAACGTGCAGCGCGCAATAACACGTGGCTATGGTTGTGATAATCGTAGCACACAAGGCCAGAAACGAGTATCCGCCGTTCCTCGTCACCAGGTTTCCTGGCAAAGGGAGCGGGGTATTGGGCGCCGGCGAATACGCGTGGCTGATGGGGGCCTTGAGATCGTTGGAAAGCGATAAGAAGACATCGCGAATAAAACTCGAGAAGCTGGTGAAGGAGCCGCAGAAGCCCGTGGCCAAGCCAATGTACATGGGTATCGTCTTTTTCACCTTGCCGTGGCGCGCTCTATCGGCTTGTCGGGGCGCAGGCTCGTCCGAGGGCTCTGGTAGGGGCTCTCCGTGGTGGCCCCATTCTGCAGCAAAGAGACGGCGGTCTTCGGACAGGAAGCCCATGACCAGCGTGCCAGCCACGTTGGCCCACAGCTCCGAGAAGGTCACGGGTGCGCCGGGATAGAAGGTAAGGGCCTGCAGGCCAAGGCGGACTAGCGTACCCCAGATGGAGAAGAAGATCAAATACGACACCGTGTAGAGCTCCGTAGCCAGCCGAGAAGCCCTCCGTGCGCCTGGTGTGTGTTTCGAGCGGGCGTAGCGCTCGGCGTGGTTGTCTGCCTTGTCGGGCGCCATGCTGGGCAGAGCGGTGAAGCTCAGTTGTGAAGCCCCTGGGGAGGCGGGCGTTGTCGTGCGTCCTGGCAGAAAGGAGGAGCGTTTGGATTGTTGAGCCTGGGGCAGCGAGGGGGTGGCATGATCTGGGTCCGTCACTTTGCGGCCGTGCTCTCTTGTCCTGGGTCGTCGCAGCGCTGGGGGCAGCGTGGGAGACTGGGCCGTCTCGTTGTACAGATGCAGCCACGACTCTGGCACGAGGAAGTCATCTGCGTCCTGGGCCTTTGCGGCCCTGGAGTCGGTGCCTCTGGAGTCGGATGTGCTCCGCGACGCACGCTTGCTGGCCGAGTTCCTGTCCTTCCACCTCGCGCTGCTGCTCCCGGTGCGCGCCTGCTGACGCGTATATGGCACGTTGGGCGCAGGCGACGACGTCGATACGGGCGAGGGCGGCGCCGACTCAAAGTCGGCGAGGTCGGGCGCAGGGTCGTGGAGGTCGAAGCCGTCCGGGTCGAAGCCGTCGAGGTCGAGGTCGAAGTTGTCCAGCCGCTCAACGTCGCTGAGGGTGCGCGCGGACAGGCGCGGGCCCGCTGATTCGTCGACGAGAAGCGAGGACCGCAGCGACGAGCGCTGGTTGTTGTAGTGCGACTGGCGCTTGGTGAGGAAGTCGTCGTCGGATGCTCCTGTTGCTGGTCGTGCTGGCGTTGCTGTTGCGGTGGTGGTGGTGGTGGTGGTTGCTGTTGTTGCTGCTGCTGCTGCTGTTGCCGCCGCCGCCGCCGCCTGGTCCGCCATCGCAGGGCGTGGCCCTTGTGCCTGCAGATGCGATGCAGTGACGCGGGCCGGTATTGACTGGGATGCGCTCAATTGATGGCACTGCCGCCGCGGGCCAGGTAAAAAAGTCAGCAAAGTCGCAGCAGGAGGCCAGGAGGCGGGCGGGCGTCTGGAGCAGCAGATGCTAGCGTCTTGCAGCGCGTGACGTGCGTGTGGTGCCGACGGTCGTGGCCGTGGACCGCCTTCTGAAGCAAAGAACAAAGTATATCACGGGCAGCCATTGTTTTTGTCGCAGGGCCTGGGGCACTAGGAGCGCTCCACGTAAGGCGCCGGGCAAATGGCAGGCAGGCCCGAAATGTCCGATTGGCGCAGCAGCGGGCCCTGCCAGTCGTGGTCGTGGGTGACTCGCTGTTCTCGCCCAGGCCGGTGTGGGCGTCGTGGGTGGTGGCAGCTAGCACCAGTACATACTTAGCTGCCGGTATCAGTATCAGAGCATCGCCCTCGCCATCCTATCCCATCCCATCCTGTCCTGTCCCATCCCAGCAACCCGGCCGGCACCGACCCAGTGCCCGTGTCCGCCGTGTGTATATCCAGACTACAGCACGCCAGCATACGCATCCCACCTTCGCACATCTGCAAGCTTGGCAGGCTCGACGTGCACGTGACCGACACCATGGCCAGCATCAACATACCCAAGAACGCCCACGTCTCGACGCACCCCTGTCTGCAGGCAAAGCTCTCGCAGCTGCGGTCCGCCGGCACAGGCTCGCGCGATGCCCAAACGCTGGTGCACGAAATCGCCCTCATGGTCGGCTACGAGGCGCTGGCCGCGGGCCTGAAGCCGCAGGCGGGCAGCACAGTACGTCGGTCGCCCTCAGCCAAGCATTGTTAACGGCAGCATCGCAGGACAAATCGCCGCTGGGCTACGAATACACGACCAGCACCACGTCGCCCGCACCCTCGGCCATATCGCTCGTGCCCATTCTCCGCTCCGGCCTCTCCATGGTCCCTGCGCTGTCGTCGCTGCTGCCCACCCCAGTCCCCATCCACCACTTGGGCCTCTACCGCGAGAAGTCAACCTTGCAGCCCGTCGAGTACTACAACAATCTGCCCTACCACACCCCGCACGCCTCGGGCGCTACCAAGCCCCAGCCCGAGCTGGCCATTGTCGTCGATCCCATCATCGCAACGGGCGCCACGGCCTGCGCAGCCATTGATACCCTCAAGGACTGGGGCGTCAAGAGAATCATTGTCTGCAGCATTCTGGCCACCGAGGAGGGGCTGCACAAGGCCTGCAGCGAGTGGGAGGCGGGCGTCGAGGTGTGGGTTGGCGGGTGCGACAAGGCTGTCGACGACAAGGGCATGATCAAGCCTGGACTTGGCGACATTGGCGACAGGCTGTTTTTGACCCTGGGGAAGTAGACGGCTAGCATCCACGGCGCATCTACGCATCAAATGCTCAATTTCGCATCCCTCGTCCTCTCGCCCAATCGTGTCTTGCCTCCCGCTGTTGCTTTGCGGAACCGTGATTGTGAACACGCCGTTTGTTTTCTCCTCCGCCTTGCTCCCGAGGCGACTAGTCGTTTGATCGACGGCCCTCTGTAAGGTTCGACCTTGCCAAAAGCCAGTCTAGGCCCTCATGTGTTGTATAGTTGTGGCAGTGCTGCTTCCAAGACTTGAGCTCAGCCACGTATGACGCAAGTGTACCACGAGCCTGCTTCTTGTGTTTGTCCCTGCCACTGCCCTACCACTACACACGGCCAGCCCTATATATAGCTGAGCGCGCCCCTGCTCTAGACCCCCAACTTACATACCTCAACCTGCTTCTAGACCAACTCCACACTCTACACTCCTACAGAACAACTCCCAACCAACCAACAACAGCAACAACAACAGCAACAACAACAACCAATCATGGGTCTCATGTGGCACAAGGGCTTTGGAGGAAGGAGGGTTGGTAAGACACGCCGGTTCTTCGGAGCTATCAGCTCCATGCCCGCAAGCAGCTGCTGACTGCAAACATAGGCGGTGGCATTGTCGCTGACCGACATGGTGTCCGACGCGCTCCCTTTCGCATCTCCTGCGGCGGCTTCTCTTGTTTCCGTTAAGCAGCTGCCCGCTTCTCGTCAACGATTCACGACTTGCACGCGGACACGGCTCTTAAGCGACGACTGAGCGCCTGTATTCTCAGTCCCCGCAACACCTACACCCTGATGATTTTAGCTTGCGACGGCGTTATGGCTGGAACACAAACACAGATGGCAGCACAGCAGAGGAAAGCTAAGCATGGTTCTTGGACGCAACATGCAACATCACGCCCCCCTGCGACCATACCCATCTATCCTGAATACCCTCAGTAGCCTAATAAAAACAATGTTCATTTGACTCGCACAATGCCGACCTCGTCTTGTTGAGCTCGACGTGTACAGACAGCTGAACCGTAGCTGGCATATGACGTCATGATGCATCCCTGTCTAAAGCTGAAGCTCCACCTCTGCCATGGCGCGCCACCAGGCCAAAAGTCACGGCGGGGCAAATGGCGCGTGCAGAGGCAGAGGTAATGTCCAGCCAACAGCAACACCAAACCCCATGGGCGAATACCGTTACGGCCACAGGTCCAGATACAGCAAGATGCGGTCCATCCTCGTCATCAATCCCAATTCCACGGAGCAAATGACCAACGGCCTCAAGCCGCTTGTCGACGCGCTACAGTTCAAAGACGTCAATCAACGCCACCCAGCGCCGCAAGCCCGCAACTGACCATGGCTAGCAGACCGCGCACGAATACTTCACGGCGCCCTCGGGTCCAAAAAGCATCAACAATGAAGAGGATGCTGCCGAGTCGGTAAACCACTGCCTACCCGCCTTGCAGAAACATGTCGCGCACCACGATGGCTTCCTCGTCGCGTGCTATTCGCAGCACCCCCTTGTGCCACTCCTGAAGGAACAAGATGCGATAAGGAGCTCGCGGAAACCCGTCACGGGCATCTTCGAAGCCAGCGTCAGCACATCGCTGCAGATTATACACCCCGACGAAAAGTTTGGCATTGTCAGCACAGGCAAAGTCTGGGAATCCATCTTGACCGATGCAACAATTGCCTTTTTGGGTACAGGCTCAGAGGCCAGCAAGCGCTTCGCGGGCGTCGAGACTACAGGGCTTAATGCTACGGATCTACACGATGCGCCTGCCGAAGAGGTGCGCAAACGGATGAAGGATGCTGTGAAGCGTCTTTTGAAGAGGGGCAAGGTCGGCGCAATCTGTCTGGGATGTGCGGGAATGGCTGGCATGGATGAGATGGTCAGGGAGGCATGCGTCGAGGAGTTGGGAGACGTCGAGGGGAAGAGAGTCAGGGTGGTGGATGGGGTTATGGCGGGCGTTGCATGGCTCGAGGGCGCTACGCGTGCTAGCTTCTAATTTTGGGTGCGTTTTGGACCAAACACTGATAACAGTTTCAGGCATTTCTACATATAACCATTTGTGTGTGAGTTTCATCCATGAACGTCGAAACAGGGAGCCAGAGCCGATAGTCAATACGGACACTAACCAGATTCAGTATGACGTAACGTCGAGCCCATCCGCCGGGACCGGTTGGGCGTGACACAACCTGCTCCCCAAGTCAGTCGACTCTACACTCCCCCTATCACCTATTTTGGTTGGTATTGCGTCTGAACAGACGACATTGACTACGGTCGTGCGACAATTGTCGAAACAAGAACGTCGTAAGCCCATGGCCATGCAGTCGCTCCCGAACGAGCTTCTTGCGCACATTGCCACGCATCTGGATCACGAGGCCCCATCGATTACGAAATTCAGCCAAGAGCCTTCAGGACGTCTCACGTGCTCTGAGCGTAGCCCGCTCAAGAGCCTGTCTCGGGTGTCATGGCGGTGGAGAAAGATTGTTCTGCCCCTGCTCTTCCGTTACGCACGCATAGCACTTGATGACGAAGCGCAGTGGGTGCCCATGGATGCGCGGCTCATTGATAGCATGCAAGAGCAGTTGACCAAGCTCAGCAACCACGAGTTTCTCATCTACACGAAGCTGCGAAGCAAGTTCAAGAGCAGCTCAGGCTTTGCGTTTGGGGCAGCCATGGATGATGTGCTCGTCACGCTATGCCGCGTCCAAGAAGGAGACGAGTTTCTCAAGTCGGTACCCAGCATTACATGGCTTCCGCATCTTCCCAGAAGATTCCCAGACTTTTGCCGGTTCGTCACGCAGTATGCACTCAAGCACCACATCAGGAGCGTGGTGGTGTATACAGAAAAGGAATGCGAGCTGCTCCACGGGCCTAGTGCACATGGGCCATTGACTCGCGGAGTATCCGAAATTTGGACGCAGATATTCGCCCACCTAGAACCTAGACGCGTTGTTGTTGCTGCTCCTCCATCGACCATGGCCGGGCTTCTGGACACGGGGCTGCTAACCAACGATGGCTGGGCTTTTGAGATGAAGATGCACTACATGGAGCTGCTCCAGGCCGAGCCGCCTCGTAGCGAACACATGGACAGTCAGTGCCGAAAATGGGGCTCGTCTCTAGTCCATCAGCGTCCATGGTACCACGTGGGCTACAACGAGGGCTCTTCGATGGCCGTGTATAGCACTTATGAATACCACCTGAAGCAATCACCCAAAGTGCTGTTTCTCTTGCTGATGCGCCTGGCCAAAGAAGCGCAAGCATGCTGCAACATTACCTCGTTCAGCCTGACCAGCATCTTTCCACTTGTGGGAAACACCAATTCCGTTATTCGGGCTCTCAAACGGATCCCAACCGTGAACAAGATTGCGGTTCAGCTGGCTCCGGGGCTGGAGAACAATCTGCTCAGTGAAGGCAAGAGGAGGGGAAGAGCACAGGCGAGTGACTTTTGGCTGGAGTGGCGCGAGAGCTACGAGGTGGTTGCAAGCTATCTAGGCGAGCGTGAGTTTGAGGATGGCGGCGAGTTTGTAAGCAAAGACTGCTGGAGCAAGCAGCTAGCGATAGAGGTGGGAGAGTGCATGGATTTGCTGAGGAGGAGGGGTGGTGGATGGAGGAGTGAAGAGCCGGGGAGATGGGTGCGGGACCATGGATTGGACAGGAGAGAGACTGGCGTCGATGTCAGTGCATCGTAGAGGATTAGACATTTGGGTGTTGCTCCCTCTATGAATTGGATATTCTTAACAGTCTATCAAGGCGCACGTAGAGCCAGGGCGCTAGCACGAGCAGCGTCCAATCAGCAGCAAGCATCTAGTACAGTAGCCCCACATAGACGACTGTCTCCTCTCTCTCTCTCTCTCACAAAGCCCGACGTCATGCCAAATTTCTGATTCCGGATCACGCTGCATCAGCGACTCTCACACCAGCTTGCCGACCAAGATTCCGTCACGCACTCACAGCAACCATGGACTCGTAGGTGAATTGGACTCTGGGCAATGCATGGCGAAAAACTAATGGCGGGCCAGACTCACAGCCTCTGAGCAGCGCGAGCTGCAGTCGCGCATGGAGAAGAAGCAGATGAAGGAGTTTATGAACGTAGGGCAGCTGCGGCAGGCGTGTGCGGCAGGATGCAGGCGGGCTGACAACGGTGCAGATGTACTCGAACCTGGTGCAGCAATGCTTCGACCACTGCGTCAACGGCTTTGAGAGCAAGTCGCTCACGTCGCGCGAGGAAAACTGCGTCATGCGATGCGTGGACAAGCACATGAAGGGCTCGCAGCGATTGGGCGACCGGTTCCAGGAGCAGAATGCCGCCATGGCACAGGGCGGCGGCATGGGCGGAAGGTAGAGGCGGAAATGGCTGGGGCGACGAGGCGACGGGCGAGGTCCGACGTCGATGGCGATGGCGATGACGATGGTACCAGGTCAGAATGCGAATAGCCCGTCATGTGTACTATGTGTATTTCAAGACGGGCCATGGAGATGGGGTTGATGGGTCGAGCGGGAGGAGGCATTGCATGTGGGCAAGTCGCTCTGGAAAACTTCTATCAGGCCCTGCCATGTTTTTTTGGCCATGGGGAAGCATGTAGATGGTGCTATCCAGCCATGCAGGCAGGCAGGCAGCTATGCGTAGCACGTATAATGAATGCACTGCAGACGACGCTCCTCGACACAAGTCGACTGTTGGGTTCCAAGCGCACTGGACATGTATCAAGAAAAAGCAGAAAAAAGAAGACGGACAAGACGACGAGACGGAGCAAGACTGGGAGCGTCGCGTCGCCACGGCAGCTCTTGGCCTAGCAGATATTAGCCAACTTGCATGCTGGCGGTTGTCAGGCGACGCCATGCCGGTTTCCCTTGATAGGCCGGCCGCCACAGCAGGGCAGCCACTCACTCGGTTTGGCCGCCCGTCATGAGCTGCTAGGCATACGCAGAATAGCGACATGCATGGCCTTTGTCGCCCTCTGCCCTCTGCCCTCTGCCCTCTGCCCTCTGCCCTCTGCCCTCGCCCTCGCCCTCGCCCTCGCCCTCGCCCTCGCCCCTCGGTTTCCGCGCAGCCATCGCATGCATGTCTTGAAGCGCCCGCCGACCGCCCAACACTGCGCACCTGCTGCCCTCGCCGCCCCTTGACCGCTGACGCTCCCCGGATTTGTGCCAGAGAGTCGCGTCCGCCCGTCCTGCCTGCCCGTCTGTCTGCCTGCCTGTCTGCCTGCCTGCCTGCTTGCTTGCCCACCTCCCACGCACCCACGCACCCACTCGCACACGCAACCAGGGCAACACTCTCGCACACACGCACACGCACTCGCACTCGCACGCACACGCACCCACGCACACACACATACACATATACATACATAGGCCCCCGCTCGCAGAGCCTCGCCCGCCGCCCGCTCCAGAGAAACCAAAAAATAAAATAAAACACACACACACACACACACACACAGCTCGCAGACCAGGCATACGGCAGGAACCCCGCTGGGCAAGCTCGCGCGCTCCCTCTCGCTACCAACCACGGCCGACGTCACGTAGCGGCCCCCCCCAGATAGCTGCCGCCTGCCCACTTGGGGTCCACCTGTACCTGGACAAGACCACCTCCACCTCCACACGACGCTGCCATCAACGACGCCGGCCCGCGAATACGCCTGTCTGGAGAGCTGCGACGCTCTTCGGCCCGCTTGCCATGCCCGGAGGCACGCACACCAATCCCCAGACTCCGCGCGTGCGCAATGGAGAGCCCCAGCCCGCCCCGGCGCTGGCTGCAACACCCGAACCCGCCTCGTCCAAGCGGGACCTGACCTCGTGGTGGAGGCAGTTTAGCAAGCGCCCCGCGAAGAAGGAAGACGACAAAGGTACGCCGCCTCGTCCCCCGCCCCCAAACAGGCGCCTGTGTCGCGCCAGCCAGCTACCCCTACTACGCTCGTTTTTTTGTTCCTGTCGCGCCCATCCACTGACTAACTGCCCTGCGCGCATCCAGATCAGGCCCTCCCCGGAATCTTTGGCGTGCCCCTCATACAGAGCATCCCCTACGCCAACGTCGCAATCTCGCTCTTCAACGAGCACGGCGAGAGCTACATCTACGGCTACGTCCCCATTGTCGTCGCAAAGTGCGGTGTCTTTTTGAAGGAAAAGGGTCAGTCACGCCCAGTTCCCTGTGGCATCATCAGCTGTTAACAGCCCACAGCAACCGATGTCGAGGGCATCTTTCGCCTGGCCGGCTCGGAGAAGAGGATAAAGGAACTCAAGACGGCCTTCGACACCCCGCCGAGATATGGAAAGGGCCTGGACTGGTCCGGCTACACGGTGCATGATGCCGCCAACATTCTGCGCCGCTACTTCAACAACCTCCCGGAGCCCATAATCCCCCTGCAGCACTACGATCCCTTTCGAAACCCCCTCAAGGGCCACCAGGCAGAGGCTGTAGGGCCCTGCGAGGGACAGGCCCCTTCGATTGGCGGCTTTGACCCAGACGCCGCCGTGCGCATATACCAGCACCAGATCAAGGCTCTGCCCTCGTTGAACCGGCAGCTGCTGCTCTACATTCTGGATCTCCTTGCCGTTTTCGCTGCAAAGGCTGATGTCAATAAGATGACAACGTCGAATCTGGCTGCCATCTTCCAGCCAGGACTGCTGTCGCATCCCCAGCACGACATGTCGCCGCAAGACTATCGCCTTAGCCAGGACGTTCTCATCTTTCTCATTGACAACCAGGACCACTTCCTGATTGGTATGGAGGGCACCGCGGTCGATGAAGGCACAGTGAAGCACATTGAGAGCGGGCCGACTACTCCACAGGCCCGAACACCCACGACTCCCGGTCGCAACAACAGCGGTCTTGGTCGCTCGGCCTCGACTTCGAGCGCTGGCGCAGAGAGCCTGCGTATGCACGGTGGCGTCCGCAGAAATGTGTCGACGTCTTCGAAGCGCTCGCGTCATTCTGGCGCTATTCCTAGCCCCATTACTCCGGCCTTTGCGTCGCCCTCCACCTCGGGAGTGCATCGAAGCAATACGCTGCCCACGAAGCGCTCTCCGGCGATAGGCAGCCCTCGCTTCCCTCCACCCAAGCAATCCGGCCCAAGTCCTGTGGAAGAGGTCAAGAACCCGCTCTTATCGCCAGAGTCGGCCAACACTCCCGCAAACCATGCGCATCCGATACAAGAAACGGAGCAGCACCAGCACCAGCCAGAGGCCATACAGCGCACGTCGCCTGTTGCAGAAGAAACCCTAGCCATACAGCCCGCAGTGCTCGAAGCGACCAGTCCCCGACGGGTGCAGACTCTGCCCCCAAATAAGATCGAGATACCGAAACCCTTTCAAGTTGCTCCTGTGCATGAGGCTTTGGCTCCGTCGGCGCCCCTCAACCACCAAGGTGGGTCTGCGACTACTCCTGCGTTCCAAAACATACCAGGCGCTTTCCCACTTGCCTCGCCGGGAGTCATTCCACCAAGCCAGCCCACTACGCCCAACGTCGCGGCGCAGGTTGCACAGTCTCTACTACCTCCGCGCTCTACCACGCCTGGCAACGACCAGCGCAGTCCTCAGCGCAGCCCCCATCTCACACCTACGCGCGAGCGCGCCGACTTGTTGGAAGGGCCCGTCGATTCTGGTCCACCAGCGGAACTGACGCCTGCTGTGCGCACGTTTACACAGATCCTGGCAAAAGTGGCTGCTTCGCCCACGGGGGAATCCAAGGACTCAAAGGACTGGCGCAAGCCTAACAAGCTCCAGAAGAAACGCGGGCCAAATGCCATCAGCCAGAGTACGCACAGTTCTACGCATTCTCTGGGCGGCAGTGATGCGGGCTTCGGAGCGACCCAGGTAGCCCCAGGCCCGCCTTCGCCTTTACATCCGCCGCAACCTCCGTTTGCGCAGGGCCACTCACAACCAAGCAGCTCCAAGGAAGCGCTTCAAGATGCGAATTCGTCACGGGCATCGGGCAACACACTCAAACCCAGCATGTCGCCTTCGGCTTCGTTTAGGTCGCACTCGACGGCAACGGAATACTCGGAGACGGAGCTGGGTGAAGAAGCGCCCAAGGAGGAAAAGCGTAGCTTCTGGAAAGGCCATAAGCGTGGAGAGAGCAAGTCAACGCCGACTGCGAGCCAGACGGACTTGCGAGGCTCGGTAGTTGGCGCGGATAAGAGCATGAGCTCGTTTGCCAGCAGCTCCGGGTGGACAGGGGGTGGGCGACGAAGCGGCCAGTTCGAGTCGATCCAGAGTCCAGACACGTCGACGGCGTTTGGCAGCCCGCCTGACCACGACAAGTCTGAAAAGAAGGGGGCTTTTGACTGGTTCCACAAACGAAGACAGGACCACAAGGAGCGGGTTGATCGGAGGGAGAGGGCCAAGAGCCCACCTGGGAGTTCGGGCTACTTACCTCAAGCAGCGAATATGGCGCAACCGACGGAGAATATGGCTACGCGTGGTCGAGCATCGGAGGTGGCGCAGTCGCCAGACGAGACGCAGTCCAAGACGGAGAAGTCAAGCGACGTGAGGCCGACGGGCCCAAGTCCCACGCCGCCACCAACGGCTGCCAAGTCGAGTCCTTCGCCACGGACGGGGTCGATGTGGCTACGGAGGAGTCTTCCCGCTGCGCTGACGGAACCGATATCTGTTGCGCGATCTCCAGACCGAAGTCAGGTGTCATCGCCAGTTGTTGCTACGGCTCCTCAATCGCTTGGGGAGACAGCATGGTCGGCGCCCAGTATAGAGGCCAGTGTAGAGAAGGCGCTTCAGGCTGTAGCTGAGGTGCCAGTGCAGCCAGAAGCGCTGGGTGCAGCATCACAGGCCGTGGAAGCGAACCAGGTGCCGTCTGCGCCTATACATGGGTCGTCGGATTCCACCATTACCGTTACTCCGCAGACGGCGGATACAGAGACGAGTCGTGATACAGCTTCAGGAGAGAAAGTGGCTTTGCCGGCGGCAGGTCCAGTGGCAGGTTCAGGGGGAGCTCCGGCGGCAGGTCCAGGTCCAGGTCCGGCTCCGTAGAGGAGTGCAAAGCCGGGGGCTGATGCAAGATTTGGATTATGCTTTGTACAAGTTGTAGGGGTTGTGAAGATAGAGGGGGTAGTGTGTGTGTGTGTGAAGAGAAGGGTGTTTTGAGCAAAATGTGGAGGAGGGGACTTTGTTGTTGTTGCTGCTGTGATTGAAATAATTGACGAATAACGGATTTGGGTGAAGGAGGGGTGAATTGCATGGAAGAAGAAGAAGAAGAAGAAGAAGAAGGGATATTGCTTGTTGTAATGGAGGGTGAGGGTGAGGGTGAGCATGCGAGTGGTGGTGTGAGTGTGAGAGTGTGTGTAAGCATGGGGCGGGGATTGGATAGTGGCTAGTTGTGTGAGGGTGTGAGGGTATGTGTGTGTGTGTGTGTTTGAATCAGGCATGGTTCATATTGTTACATTAGAAGAAAAGGTAGACGGGGGGGGATTATTGGGTAGTGGTGTGGGTGATAGTAGTATAGTGTAGCGAGGTAATTGCATGGAGCGAGCGAGTGTGAGAAGACGAAGACGACGATGATGATGATGATGATGATGATGATGATGACGACGATGACGATGATTATGACGATGATGATTTGAAACATTGATGACATGATGGCAAGAAGAAGAGTTTCTTTTTTTTCTCTATTTGTTTGTTTGTTTGTTTGTTTGGATATACTATGAACTTGAATGTGTGTAACTTGTGCCAAGCAAAGGTAAGTCAAGCCAAGTCAAGTCAAGGAGAGAGAGAAAAAAAAAAAAAAAAAAAAAAAAAAAAAAAAAG